TGTATTAAATAGGGGAACTTGTCGGCAAATAAAATGGTTTCGCAGACCCAAACGGATGTCATATCTTTCTTAGTTTATTTGATCGAGCTTCATCCTCAGGTCTTGTGTTTATTCTTCGGGGTAGATACAGGATTTGAGGTAGAGCGCTCTTTCATTTAAACTGTGAAAAATATGAGGTCAGTTTGATTTCGTATTTTTCTAAAATTATATATATATATATGTAAATTAAAAAGTCCTTCCGAAGCGGGCGACGGGATTTCGATTCCGGCTGCCGACAGCTTCTTACGGGCGACCCCCAAACGTAACTCCCCCCTCTTTTTAAACGCCGACACCAACCTAGCCTTGAACCTCTTAATGCTCTCTTTTATTTTGTAATTGCATTGAACACTCATTTGCACCCAACGAGTCTTTTATCTAGAGAAAAATTTGTAAAGGTTCATGTGTCATTTAGGTTAAGAGTTTGGATCTACTTTCAACTGAAATTTTCAATGTTTTGAAAACCGAACCAGGCCGGACCAATCGGTTCGACCAACAACTGGTTGCAGATCTAATTCCAATTTGCATAAAAACATTGGTCTGCATCAAACCGCATAAAATTGTGTTGAGTCGACAATTCAAACTTTAAACTGTCCAACTGACGCCAGTTCTTTTGAATTGTTTGGTTTGTAACAGCAGCATAAATATGCAGAAATGAATAGAAAACCTACTCAATAATACTCTAATTTTACCCTAAATCCCCACCTTGCTTGTCTTTCGGTCTTCCAAATCTCGTCCTCGGTTTGCCGCTCTCTCGCCAATGCCTCACCAACCCATCACAGATGCCTCACCAATTCTTCGTCGGCTGGCTCGATTACTTTTTTTTTCATTCGGTTTGAATGTGGTGCACTATTGCATATGATTTTTTTGAAGTGAGAAGATGAAACTTTTCACAAAGGTAAGTGTTGATTTTCAAAATTCAGTTGAATTTTTTTATTGAATGAAAAGACTGTATAAATACCCTTACATAAATCCTAGAATAGGAAAGACAAGGAAAATGAAATAATATGAAAAGAAAGATATAACACATATATTTTCAATTAATCAATTCATAATAATTACTTGGGGAAAACATAAACAATATAAAATAGAAAAACCTATAATAGGAAATGAAATAAATCTAATCTAAGGAATAAATTATTTCATGATATAACTTCTAACACTCCCATCAAGTTGAAACATAGTGGACAATCATATGCAACTTGGATTTGAAAATATCAAAAAATGGACGAGGAAGTATCTTTGTTAGGTAGAACTTGAAATCTTCATCTCGTACTTGGTAATCAACCACAAGAACATTTAGGGTTTTTTTACCTGACTATGATTGTCTTTAACTGCAGTGTCTGCGGTGTCTATCGACAAGTGGAAGGCTCCTACAGATCATGTTGCAGGTAAGTTTGAAGGAAAATAGACAACTTACAAGAAAAACTGATTTCTAGTTCACTGTGATTGTATTTGACTGCAGTTTATGTAGTGTCTGTAGGTAGGCAGAAACCTTTTATAGGTAATGTTGTAGGAAAGTTTGTAGGAAAAAAGAAAACTTCGAAGGTAGGCCTGTTGCAGAAAAGACTTCGGAAGTAGGTCTGCTGCAGGAAAAGGCTCTGAAGGAGGGTCTACTGTAAGAAATAACTCTAAAGAATTGTTTGCTGCAGAAAAAAACTCTAGAAGAGGGTTTGTTGCAAGAAAAAGCTCTAGAAGAAGGCTTGTTGTAGGAAAAAAATTTCAGAGGGTCTGTTGTAGGAAAAAACTCTGGAAGAGAATCTGTTGTAGGAAAAGAGCGTTGGAAGAAGAACTCTGTTGGATGGCCTACTGCAGCGAAAAACACTGGAGGTAGGGCCGCGACAGGAAAAAAAGCTCCGGAGAAAGCTCTGCTGCAGAAAAAGCTCGAGAGCCTTATTAATCTAAGCAGCAGTTATAGTGTTGGAAGTGATCGCATCTTCAATCAGGCCCCCTGCAGCTTTGTCAGGGGACCACACTAAACCACAAGACAAACATGGTGGTGAACACAATAATCGCTGACACTACCAAGCCTCCCTTTGTCATTTCTCTTAGTCGTCCCAAATCCCCTGCTGCCCATAATAACAACACTGAGCACAAGCCTCGCCACTTCGAGGCAAAGCCTCTCCTTCATGTCATGATTCTTTACAATGTGGATCTTGAAAGGGGAATGAAACTCTACAAGCAGTTGGGAGAGATGTTGTGCTTTTGTGATAATAAAGGCGTCCAAATCTTCCTCAAGTTCATGCTGCCATTGCTCGGAGTTTTCCTCTTTAGTGGCAGTCGTAACCTCTGAAACGAAGAGGTCTATCGATTACCATTCAATAACATAGATAATAGAAGTGGAGCGAACATGAAGGAGGACGATGACATCATTGGGTCGAGGGTAGTTCTGGACAGCCTAATTCACAGCGTAGGCTTTTCTTTGCTCAAATTTACATCGAAAACAATCTGATGATGTGAGTTAAAAGTGGGGTTTGCCGTTGTCGCAGACGAGAAGAAGAGTCGCGGTGTTGATGGATGAATCATGTGGTTCAGCGGCTAAAGCAAAGGCTATAGGGAAATAGCAAAAAACTACAGAAACCTGCTGGGAAACAACAAGGAAGCTTGCAGTAGCCTACAAGAAGGTTTAGTGGCAAAAGTCGGTAGCAAAACCGGAGCAATGGGAGTTTCCAGCCAGCGACGGGAGAGCCATCAGTCCAACGACCAACATTGCAGGTATGGAAGTTTTCAGCGGGAAGAAAGGGACAATGGCTAGATAAAAATAGTAGTGGGCGGCTTGCAAGAGGTTCAAGCCGGAAAAAACAACAATAGGGGGAGAGATCGGTGGTGGCAGAGTCTGCAAAAAGGGTTATCGGCGGTTGAAATCTGCGGAGAAGGAGAATGTCGACTGAAATCTACAAGAAATGAAGGTGACCGCGGGCTGAAAAAACCTGTAGGGAATGAAGGAAGTTTCTTGACATCTAGGGCTTGCAGGGAGGGTTCGGATTTCCTGCAGGAAGGAGTTCTGATGGCTAGGGCCTGCTGAGAGAGGAAGTTTTCAGTGAAAAAAATCTAAAAAGAGGATGGGAGGAAGGGCCTGCAGCACTACAAAGATTGCCGGTTGCAGATAAACTCTAGGGCTTATTTCAAAACTCTGATACTATGTTAATTTTCAGAATTAATTGATGTGGAAATGAAGTATAAATACCCTTAAATGAACCTTATAATAGGAAAGATAAAAAAAAAACATGAAAGGAAAGTTATAATACCTGTAACTCCAATAAATTTATAATAATTACTTGGAGATAAAGAAAACAACATAAAATAGGAAAAGAAATAAATTCAATCCAAGAAAATAAATCTAATCCTGATAACTTTTAACAAGAATAAATTGTTTTCTAATATAGCTTTTAACAATAAGCATGTGATTTTACCTTTCCAACAGATGCAAAAGCATAAAGGCTATACACCACATTTTCTCCTTTATTTTTTATTTGAATCTAACGTTGGCCAATGCGAGTGAAAACTAAAAAGCAACTCCACTCCACTAACCTGTTAATAAACCTATTAAAAGAACATATTGATGTGATTGATAGGATGAATAGTAGAAGGGTTTGTGAGAGAAATAGCAATGGAAAATTAGTGAAATCCCTAAAATGTCATAAATTTGATTACTCTAACATAAGTTGATAAAAGTTAAAAATAGACTTGTCTTGCTAGATTATTATGAAATCTTAAAAGACTAAAAATTTCATGCATTCACTGATTAAAATTTCTCCAAAACTATATAGGTAAAGAGAACCCTAATCAAGCAATGCAAAAGTGTAGTATGCATGTAAACATTAAAATTTACGTGTTAGATATGTAAATTTATAAGAATGAATGGTATGGACGCAAATACATAAGATATTTGATTACACTCTTGGAAGGAAATAAGTAGATGCTCCCAGTCGCTTTCATATGAAATGTTGAAATATACAATTTTATACTCCATGTAGCACTTCCATCACACAAAACTAAATACAGATTCATAAGCATCAAATTAAATAAAAAAATGCTTGATATCGGAGTTGACCCAAACCACGACTCTAAAATACGAATATTCTTGATGACTCTAAATGAGGTTACAATAGAGATACAAAGTAAGGAGAACGACTACTCAAAGCAACGGAGCAACGGAGCAGGATAAAAGCAAACACAAAACACAACAAGGACGACACGAACAAACTAGACAAGTAGGAAATCCAGAGTGGAGGAGTATGGAGAGTTGTGGCCTCGCTGGGAGAAGGCTGACAGCTGGCTGGAGGGAAGAAGAAGTTGGGTTGTAGTTGGTTGGGTGCAGGGAGGAGACTGGACAACAGTAGACGATCTAGATGCGGGAATAAACACTTACAAAAATAATGTCTAGTTGCAAGAATAAACAGTCATTCGTTGGGGAGGAATCTGATACTGTCGGCTGCAGAAAGAGGCTACGATGGGGGGCTTACAGAGAGAGGCATCTATTGAAGGGGATCCAACAGAAGGAGGAAGAAAAGTTAGGGTTTGTTACCTTGAAGAAAGATGAAAAAATTGTTCTCTTATTTCTTAAACATCAAATTACATCTCTTCTCCTTATATAATAAAGCTAGAGAAGCCTTAATTCCTACAATTATAACTTATCAAATACACAATAACCAACAAAAAAAAAGAGATAAAACACAATAAGAAAGCAATAAAAGAGAATAAATCTAAAATAAAAAAACTCAAAATTCCACACATGCTAACTTAACTATGCATGCAAAGGCAAATTTCACTTTTTAGAAGTTAAAATGGTGGTTTTTTTAATGTGGTATGAAATATTTGGGTGATATAAATGTAAGAAGTAAATTTTGGTGTTAAATGTGTGATTATAAATGAATTGGGTGGAATGTATGTAAGTTCCCGAATAATATTTCAGCATAATAGGAAAGGTTACTTTAGCAATGACTCACAGAAATTCCATTTACCTGACTAAATCAGTCCCAAGAGAAGCTGCAGCCTTTACAAGTTGTTGTTCACTCAAACTTACACGCCTTACTTTATCAGGATCCACTCTTAGCGCATCCTTTAAGGAACCCTTAGGCTTCCCAGCCTTAATAGTTATAAGGTGTTTATACTCTAGAGCTCGAGGTTGGTTCTTCTTTAGCTCATCTTCATCATCGTCTTCTTCATCATCTTCATCTTCATCTTCATCGCTATTGTGATCTCCACGCTATAAATAAAAGGCTTTTTTATTAGTAGGATAATAAGATCTTGAGATCACATAACTCACGAGAAAAATGTCAAAATAGTCCCTTATCTCTTCGCAATGGATCATTTTAGTCTTAAGAGTCTATAAAGTGTCAAACTCTTCCCCATACTCTTTTAATATGGGCTAAAATAGGCTAAAATAGTCCTCCCTGGGACTATTTCGGTACATATTAAAAAAAATAGGAACAAATTTAACACTTTCACATACTCTTGAGACTAAAATAGCCTCACGTAAATATTCAGAGAACTATTTGGACACTTTACTCCATAACTCAAAGAAATTCTCCAATGTGAAATCACACCTCATAAGATTCAATTTGTGTGTTCAGATCTGGGACTTCCTTTCCCCATTCTTCTTCCTCGAGAGATGCCTTTCCATTTTGAGATTCATGCTCCTCCTTGGAGCTCTTACTTTCAAGATACTCTTTAGGAGGCTTGGTTGAGAGAATAATCCTGTTCTTTAGAGCTTCAGGTGAAGGAAATTCTACAACAGTTTCTGAGTTTGGGTAATACAGCATGTCTCCAAATGTTTCAATGACCATCTAGATAAAACAAAAATAAAAAAATAATAGAGGCATATACAGACATAGCGCCCAATTCTTATTATTTACAGATCTAACACCTAAACTTTACATTTTACATTTATACCACCCAATCTTTCATAACACATCTAAAATACCACTGTTTTAACTTTAAAGAAGTGAAAATCACCATTACATACATAGGTAAGGTGGAAAATGTATAAAAATTGAAGTTTAGGTGTTAGATGTAAACACATAAGAATTGAGTTGTATGTATGTAAATTTTCCAAAAGAATAACTTAACAGGAAGAAAATTGGGTAGAGAACTGCTCATCAAACTTCATGCAGAAATTAAATTTACCTCTGCAACTTTAGCCTGGAGATCAGGAGTAAGGTGGTCCTCTAAGGTTATGACAACTGGGTATGGTGATGCAACAAAGGCATATTCTTTGATGGACTTCAAACATTTAAGCATATCCACGGGGGTAGTAAGCGTCCTTTAAAAAGCACAACAGAATATGATTACCAAAAAAATGTCATGGAGAAGAATAAAGGGGCATTTACATACATAACACCTATTTCTTATGTATTTACATTTCTAACTAAACATTGTTTTTTTATATTTAAACCACCCAAACCCTATTTAAAATTGCTCAATATGAGGCCTATCTAGAGGCTTGCCTCAACACTTTTTACAAAAAAATGTCATGAGGCATAGACTCAATGTTCTGAGGTGAGGTGTACACCTCAACCAGGCTGGGGCACGCCTCGCCTCAAAAAATGCCTCAATTGCAATTTTTTTAAACAAAACTAAAAGTAGTATTAATATATTTCAACTATTACCATTCATGCATCACACATAAATAACAAGAAATACAAGGGAAATGTATCCAAAAAAAATTATGCAGTTATAATTTTAATTTTCAACAAAATTATTATTTTAATTAATATTTTTATTGATGATTATTCATTAAAAAATAGGAAATAATTGGGATTAAAGATAATAATGAATGAGAGAATATTGATACGATGAAGAAAAAGACAAAAAATAAATAATTTATTATGCTAATGATTCTAATGAAAATTAATTGGATGACCAGAGAAACAGAGATTTTAAAATTAAAATTCAAATGTTAATGGCTATTTATAGTCTTATTTAAGTGGAGGATAATATTGAGTGGGAGGGAAAGTTTAATGTTGAACTTATTTTGATTGTTATATTTTGATATTTTAGTATTTAATTTTAATGACTTGGATTACTTTAATAGTTTAATGATTTCATAACCCATCTTATTCCATAATTTGATGTTAGGACATTAATGTGTTATTTTTAATTTTATGCAATTAATTACTTTTTACTTAGAATGTTGTTATATTGTTTTTTAACATGTTAATAAATTAAAATACGGATATATTATTTCTCACTTCACACTTTATAGTTTATACAATATTTATTAATTTATGCAATTTTTGAAATTTAAGTCATACTCCTCAAAACACCTTAAGGCTTATGTCTCACCTCATGAACAAAAAAGCCTCAATACCCAATTGTGCAATTCTATACGTTGACCTAAAAGTTTCATATCACATCAAAAATACCACTATTTTAACTTTTAAAATGAAAAATTCGCCTTTTCATGCATAGTCAAGGTGGTATAAAAAAAAGAAATTTTAGGTGTTAGATAAATAAATACACAAAAATTGAGTGGTGTGTATGTAAATCTTCCAAAAAGTAAATGTCTAAAACAAAACATAGTGGAAAGAAGACAATAATATAATATCACTTTAAACTCAAATTGTTTGTTGAACAAAAACATGACAATGAATACTTCGTGCCAAAGTCAAAATAATGGCTGAAAAAGTTAATCCTTAAGAAAAGCGAATTATGACAAGTTGATCTCATAATTATAAACAGTAGTTGACAAAAATCTATGAAGGTAAAGGGCTGTGCTTGTTGTTCTCAGGAATCTTACATTACATCATGTCTCAGATTTTACTCATTAGTGATTTGACAATAATAAGTTTCTTGAGGTGTCATATAATAAGTGCTCTTCAAGTGATGCAGGCACTGGCTATACCATGTTGTTCACTTGTTGATGACTCTATTGAACATGCTTGTGTGGGTCGTTTGTAACTTGAAGATGAACTCAAAATGAAAAGTCAAGATGCTTCAAGTCTATAATGAAGATTTCAAGAAGAATAGCTGGGTGAATGTGCTTAAGAGCTTCCTTGTTTGTTTGAATACAAGGTTCACCTTAAATGCCTAAAGAATGATGAAAGCAATTATTATAATATAATAAAATTATTAACAATTCAACGATTATTTAATTATGTAAAAACAATAATTATAAAGTATTTTAAAAATATTATGACCAAATCAAAACTCTACTAAATATATAAATTATATTTTAACTTGTTATATAACTCGACAAAGGGCTTCTTAACTAGCTAACCAGTCTTCAAAAAGCCCTTTCGGGTAACGATAATCGAGTTTATGGTTGTTGCAGCTGTTTTAACAAAACTACGAGCCACCACTAATTAATGGGACATCGTAAACTTACATACACCTCACAAAGGCAGACAACACATTATTATCCCACCCTAAAAAATGTGTTTTCCTTAAGGAGATGCTAGCTTTTAGTAGTTTACCCACCTCAATTTACCATTTTGCCGCCCAATCATCACAAAAAAAAATGCTTAATGTAACAACTTACCCTTGTGCTGACCTCATTTTGAGGTCATTACTCTTTTCCTTAGGAGCATGGGATCTAATCATAGGACTTTCCTATTGACTATCTTAGAAAATTAGTATTGGAATTCATCCCATTAGAAATTTCAGTCACTTCATATTTCTCTTGTGATGTCTCGCATTGATGATCTCAAAATCATCATTGTATGATCGAGTGGTTAAGGACTATCATGTGGAGACTCAAGGAGAAGTTCCCGATAAGATTTCAAGCCCTAGGAAAACATCTTCGGGACTTCATCATCACACACACAAAATGCACAAAATTCACTAAGGTGCACAAGATCAGATTAAAATTAAGCTTAAAGAATGGTGAAAATGTGAACTTCTCTGGACGACCTCCGATGATAAAATGGACTGCGCTAACGCGTCTGGGACATCAATTTTAGCTATGAAAGACACTTATATTGCTATAATTTTTTACACTAGCAAATTGCACGTAAATCGATGAATTCGTCAAAACGACCTCTGACGACGAAACGTACCACGCTAATGTGTCTGGAACGTCATAATTACCTAAAAAGGACGTCCATTTTTGTTATGCTATGACGCACGAATAAAAATATACAAATCATTTTTTTTATATTTTTGAAAATTTTATCTGATGACTCTCCTTTACTGCGCTTAATTAGACTGAAACTGTGTTTTATTCTTTTTTTTTTGTCCCACCTTGTTGGGCTCGGGTGTGCCTTTTGTGGTTGCCTGTCTTGCCCTTCTTGCTGGGCTCAGGTTTACTGTCATGGTTCCCTGTCTTGCCCCTTTGCTGGGCTCGGTTTGGTTGAAAGTTCTTCATATAAAGTTACTCCTGAGATTATTATTGATAATCAAGTTTGTCATCCCAAAAATTATGATTTCAATATGTGCTCCTATGTTGTTTGATGTAAGCTGAGCTGATCAATTCGTTATTATGTCTCGTTTGATATAAAATGGCTTCAATCTAGAAAGTTTATGGAAGTTTGTTCATTCACTCTCTTATGTATATCAATTGAGTACGATGACAATATCTGTAGTGGCTTTCTTTTATTGTCCTATAACCGTGAGCCTTACCTTGTGATTTCTTCATATGGCAAATTGGAGGGTGGTGGTGTTGGCTGCTGCCTTTGTTGTCCCTGACCGTAAGCTTGTCTTGGGGTTGGGTTGTTCACTTTCTTGTCCTAAACTGTGGGCTTAACATTCGAGCTTGGTTACGCTTTTTCTGATCTCTACCCGTAGGCTCATTTTATGGTTTGGTTGTGCCCTTTTTTGGCCCTACCCGTGAGCTTAAATATGTGGTGGCTTCTCCTTTACTACTCCTACCCGAGAACACCTGTTGGTTGGTTGTGTGAGCTGCTGCCCTTACCTGAGGATATTCACGTTGTTCTATTTATTTTGTTTAGTTGTTCCTGACTTTCCCCTTTGTTGTGAAGTTTGTTTACTGGTTTTGGTCTGTGGCCCTTACCCATGAGCATCATAGTTGGTTTCTCTTTTGCTCTGTTTGGTTGTTCTCTGTTGCCCCTGGCCGTCAGTCTTCACCTGTAGCTCTTTTATGTTGAATATGGTTGGTTTGGGGCTTGACTTTCTCCTCGCTCCCCCTGGCCGTGAGTCTCACTGTTGTGGTTCCTTGGTTCGGGCTTGGCTTACTCCTTGCTCCCCCTACCCGTGAGCTTTTGTCCTATTTCCTGTCCTAAATCGTGGGCTTATATTGGAACTTGGTTGTGCTTTTTCTGGCTTCTACCTGTGGGCTTGTTATGAGGTTCGGCTGTCCCTTTTCTTGGCCTTACCGGTGAGCCCCTATCTTCTTTACTGTCTCTACCCATGAGTCTGTTGAGGATTATTCAGATTCATTTTGCCCTGACCGTGAACACTTCTATATTTTATAAATTGGTGTTACATTTATACAATTGTGAAAAGCTTTTAACAAGGGGTGGAATTGAATGGATTTGATATTGGCATGGTTTTTGGAGATTTAGAAAGTTGCCCTCTATGGATTATTCTCCTTTACTTTGTAAAATATGAAAGACTCTTATAGCTTCATTTTGGGAAATCATAAAGTTGATATAAATTAGATTCGTGAAATGATTAGAAAACTCATAAAATTGGGAGTTGAAAAAGAGGTTGGAGGTTCGACATTAAAACTTGGATAACATAAATGCCACACTTGGGTTCAGGCTTGGGTGTGTGAGTACATATAGGTAGTAGAGCTGTGGGCATAGTTGTCACATTAGTTTTGGGTCCGTTTCGACTTGTTCGAAACAAGATTTGGAAATGATACTCTCCTTGGGTTGATTCATTTATAAAAGTTGAGAAAATGATATCATTCTTCGATTGATTCAAGGATCTTGGGCTCTCTTTTTCAGATCTTTTCGTCACAGTTTTGATGGTTGTTTCACCCTTCATCCTTTCGTTCTTTTGGGTGGATCAGTTCCTCCTTTCTCTCATCCTCATTTTTATTTTTTTTACTTTCTTCTTGATTCGGTTTTTTGTGCTTATGTCTGACACATAAGTGTCCATATATAGTCTTTTGTTATATATGAAACCATCAAGCAAGGTCGCAAGTAGGTCGGTTTTGTTTTGGGGCTTAGGGCGATGATGACAAAGGCACGCCGGAGATAGGGCATAATGATATTTCATCCTCGATATCAGGACTCAATCCTGGGATCTAATAAATTGTAGGATGACAGTATCATTCACCGACACAAGACTAGCGGGGGACCCAAACCTTCTTAGGTTGTTGGCGGTCCTACGTCCGACGACGTAATCTACTCGTGCACAACTATACTTTTTCAAAATTGATAAGAACATACATGATAAAAACATATACAATATCTATAAAAATATTTTCAATACAAAATTGATACAACTTTTTTGTATGTCTGAAATCCATGTGCATGCTAAAATATAAATTTTAAATATGTTACAACTTGGTAGTTCACTTGTTAATTAATGATATCGGGCTAAGGAGTACCCTCCTAAGTTATGTCTTGTATAACACCCTTCTAGTTGAGTGGAGGGCTTTATACATCCGGGTACATCCGGGTGACCGATAGTAGTGGAGGGCTTTATACATCCGGGTGACCGATAGTAGCCTTCGACGTCCCACGAGTACAAATATATTATATTTGAGCCTAGTCCCGACCCGAGTGCTTGTGGTCCCCTCTTTTCGGATCTTTCATATGTTTTATTAGAATTTTTGGGTAAAGCACTCGAGGTCCTTTTTTTCGGGATCTTCCCGATATTTTAATAATTTTCTTAGAATTTTCATTTGTCGATTTTTCCCGAGTTTTCCATTGTGAGTCATTTGCCGATTTTTTCTGAGTTTTTTGTCGTGGATCATTTGTCGATTTTCTCCAGTTTTTCAGACAATGTTTCTTTTTTTTATACAGTGTATATAAGTTCACTTAAAGGAGCAGCAGGCCTCCCAGATATACATATTTGATTTACATTACAACATTTTACTTCACAGAATACTGTACTATTCTTCTTTTTTACTGTACATTCTACTGTTCTTTTCTTTTATACTGCATGTTTTATTGTTCTATTACACACTATACCTTAGTGTAGGAAAACTCAATGATTACATGTACCCTTAAAACTAATATCAAACCCGAAGGTTCTACGATAAGGAGCTTGGAGCAAACACAGTGAGCAGCACGACGAGGACACTCAGAAGAGTAACGTCAAAACAAATTCACATCACTAACCACTTTCTTAAGTTTAAATAACAACTCATAGGATTTCGAGGTGGTTTGTCTAGCACAGGGTAAACCCTCACATATCACTTTTAGGCTTTTGCATAACCCATAGGATTTTGAGGTTGCTGTATGGTATACTATAAATCTTACTATATTTTTAGGCTGTTTGCACGATCAGATATCGTACGAACATAAGTCCTAAATTCTAAATAAATTGCAGGATTAAACATTAAACAAACGCAGGATTAAACATTAAACAACATCATTTCAAAGATATAAAGCCAAACAATAGGATAGTTGGGAGGTCACCGGGGTTTTCCTCGGATCTGTGATATTCATTACTCTTCATTCATTTGGATTCCTCAAAATAATTATTCTTGTTTGAGCCACTCTCATTTGATTTTCTCATGTCCAATCGTGGCATGTCTTTCTCATGTCCAATCGTGGAAACCTAAACTTTGAAATCTCAAAAACAGAACCACTGATCTTAATCGAGAGTTTTCTTAAGTGATCTCGGTCATTTGAGATGTAATTAACTATAGAAGCTTGCCTCTATAGAAAACTTGGAACTCAGGTAAAATAAACTCTATCTAATTCTTATATTAGGTAGGGGAACTTATCGGCCTCATATAAAAATATTTCGCAGACCAAACGAATATCACAAATTCTTTAGTTTAGGTGATTGAGTCTACTACAAGTGATATGCTTATTCTTCGGGATAAGTATGTTACTTGTGATATTGCGCTCAGTCATCCAACTATTCAATATGTGAAACTCGTTTGGTCTCATCTCTTTTCAAAAGTTAAAAATATTACTTTCAAAAATCAAAATCACATGTTTATATTTAAAACTATCTTCATGTTTACAAAAATTATCTCTTTTCCAAAACAGAAAATTAAAACGGCCGACACCTTGATAGACCGGTTAATTAATTAAAATAGAAACACAAAACTTCCACATTCTTGTCGACATTATTTTTTACCTTAAAAACTTTGTGGTGTGCTGGTATTACCTTATTAGTTGTTTGTATCTTTTCTCTAAACACGGTAATTTTATGTATTTTATTCATTTTATTATTATTATTATTAACATTAATATCATTTAATTACTTAAAATTTTGCCAACCCAATAAAAAGCGGCTAGTGGCATGCCTTCCCTCCAAACATTCTTACTAATCTATCTGAAGAAGGTATTCTTACAGGAGAACTTCTGCATGCTCCCTAATGAGGCAACATAGAAACGCTACACTCTCATTTCCTCCCTAAATTCTTCTCAATATCATTTGCTATAATCTTTGAAGCTTAAGCAAACTTTAACAACCCTATTATCATCATAGTTTCCACTTAGTCAATAACTCAACTAGAATAGCAAAAATCAAATATGGTTAAGCATGAATTTTCCAGCAATGCACAAATTAAACAGATAAAATTGATGTTCGATTTAACTTGAAGATTTGATTAAAAAATCAAACATTATCGAAATGATGCAAAATAAAAACCAAAAGGTCCATCTCACCACAAAAAGGATCCATTGACACTAAAAATGATAAAGCCCAAAAATAATACACCCCTGAATTGACTGAAACAACTGAATTGACCTTGACCTATCTGCTTCACACGCGACACATGTGGCTGGATGAATTCTCTTAGGCTACAATTGGAGCCTCTAATTGCCAGGAATCCTTGAATTTACTCCTCCCCAATCTCTCGTCGTCATAAGCAACACCTCGATATTATTTGATTGCATCAACACACATATTAAGATAAAATTTTATCGGAAATATTATAACATATCAAGGCCATTTCAACCTTTGTGAACCACCATTTCAATAGCCATGTGTGGCCTTTTTTGTTCTAAAAAACACAGTTTGATAAAATATAATGGCATATTATATTCAATCTTTTGCATCCCAAAATTTAAGCGATGAATCGTCTCATAATTTATTTTTTCATCTGATCATTATAATTTCAAAGTCAACATTGTTAGACTCAAAGCATAAAGATCAACAAGATGCTACGTTCATGTTGACAATCGAAAACATCACCGATAATAATCGTTGAAAGTCAGAAGTAGGGCCAGGCTTGAATGGATGAGTCAAACCAACCCAAGGATGACATCATTCGATAATAGTTTGATCACAGAAAAGATGCAATCATCGCCATATTGTGCCAAAATCTAAATAGAATATTTTGGAATATTTTGAAAAAATCTATAAATATGCATTAATTCAACTCGTTTTTGGCATTCAAAACATGGGGAGCATCTTGAAAAGCTTAAATTTCTAGAGCACAACAATCAAGATCTTTGGAGAATTCAATAGCATTGAAGATTTCTAAATCTTCAAGTAAGTTTTATGGATTGTTACCATCTCCTCGAGCATCTGCACGCACAACATTACGTACACTGCTTCCAAACATATGCCACAAACATGACTATCTCTTTCGAAACTATGCTACAATCTCCCATATGTCGTAGTCCTCACCGCATCATGACACAATTCGTAACCATAATTACATCGCCATCTATGTTCTTCCAAATGTTAAGCTTAATTTCATTTGTTTTAAATCCAAAAAACACAGTGCAATAATGTTTGCATTGCAATCGTTCATTCCATTCATGCGCTACAACATCACATATACCCCCTCTAGATATGTGTTACAACCTTGCTTGTACCGCAACCACCTTCTTCATACTCTACGTTCAAACCTCGCTTATTTCATAATCAATGTTACATACAAACCCACATCACAACTTTCCATCTTCTTCAAAACTCGTGCCACGACCTTGCTTGCACTACATCAAAATATTTGTCTGAATCTTGCTAAATAGGCCTCTTCTTCTTAATCTGATGCAACTTCTTTTAAGATGTAATCATTATCACTTGCAAATATATATAACAACCTTACTTGTGTTGAAACCATCTCCTTTAAGATTTTTGTTGCAAATCTACTTACATCGTAGCCACTAGTGCTTCTAGACACGTCTCAACCATACTTGCAACATAAATATCTTCATAACTATGTCATTCTGCTATGGTTAAGCCTGTATCACGGTTTTCACTGCATCATAAACCTCTCTAGTGAGACTCACACTGCAGTAGCTTCAAACAAAATTCTGTTGTGGTCATCTCCAGTTATACTATAAAGACCTACTTTGGTGCCCATCACTTGCCCTTTTCTAATTACCTAAAAGGCAACTTGTACTAGAGTCCCTTCAATGACTTAGATGACGACCACCCTTGTACCAATTTTTCCAAAAACAGTGAATCTTATTCAAATAGGGCAGATCTTGTGGTTTTTCCCTTCCAAGGGTTTTCCAAGAAAAAATTTGGTCAAGCATGCTTAGTTATTTGATTGCTTGTGTGCCTGATGCCGAAGAAAAATAAAGACAATCGGGATCGATCCTTACTCCACTGATTTGATTTTTTGCACAAAGTAACTAAAACAAACAGCATAATTCAGCCTTCAACAGTTTATGTTTTATTAAGAGCCATAAATAATCCAATATGTTCTCTTGTTTATATTAAGTTTCTTACTTAGTAATGAGTGCTTCAATATTTTTTTTTTTATGATTTATATTATGATTTTTAAATGTCTTATTTTTCATATTTATGATGTATTTAATGAATTTATTTTGAGTCTTATATCTAAAATAATCTTGAGTCTTACACCTTAGCTTGAAAAAAATAAATTATAAAAAAAAACCTCAATGCCTTATTGTATAATTTTAAAACTTCATCGATTGAATTTAATCCCATAAAAATAACAAAAAGACACATCAAACAAATCATTTTCAATTTTCTATCAATTGAAACCAAACTAAAAATATAAATAGATTGTTCTATATTTTAGTTTAAAACATTAGCATACTCGATGAAGAAAATTTTACAATAAAAGCTACAGCTAAGAAGGCAATCGTCAAGTATAATATTACAAAGCAATACCTTCCATGAAGGATATTTATATTATCTTTCGTAGAGTTTGGCCACAAGTCCAGTTCAATCACTCTCACACCTCTTTCTAAAGCTTTTATGATCGGCACATCACTGCAATCGCTGCTAAGCTGGTTCCCAGTTAAGTATGAATTATGGCCGGTGTATATGAAATAATGGGATGCAGGAGCCGTCATGTCATGATGAACCTAGAATATAGTCAAGAATGTAAGAAGGGGAGAATAGATCAAATTTATGATCAATTTCTAGCATTAAAAATAAAGCAATATCATTAAATTTGAGCATATGATTTAAAAAAGAAAATTAAAATTTTCAATTCATCAAGAAACTAACGTTTTTTCTATAACTACTGCATGGCAATAATGCGCTAAAAAAATCAACAAAATCTAAGAATAAAAACAGATGCACTTGTTTAGAGTTATTGTTACAGCAACAAATTTTAAAAGCAACATCAGAAATGAGAAGCCCTAGCTCCATCATTTCAATGGAGTTGAGTCTGTCGAAAAATAAGCCCCCATACACCATATAAATAAACAATATTGAAAAGATGCATTCATCAAGTAATATTCAGTCCATTAATTTTATGTAGGTTTCCAAATACCACATATACCATCTCTAGTAGCCATTTAAAGTCCTCATCCAAGTGCTTGGTTTGGAAACAACAAATTATTGCCAAAATAGCTTATGACCATCCATCTGATGCTAATTTATTAATGAGTAATTTATTTCTAAGAAGTTACTCGTATCTTTAATAAAAATAATAAAATAGATGAATATTATAAAATAAAATTGCTCAAACATTCAACGAGAAATTTGGGAAGGTAAACCTATCCAATGAATTCAAATTTTAAAAACTAACAATTCCACGCTCATGCATTCATATCGTCTCTAAGATATTGGTTCAAATGGGAGATCAACCAAAGTTTTAGTACAAAGCCAAACCTATAGTACTCCTTAGTAATTTAAATTTAGGGTTCGTTGCAGTGAAGGATTTAGGGCATAGATGCACTTGAGAAGGACACGATAATATTTTAGATGTTTTCTAGAATATTTTGTAAAACTCCAATGAATTTGATGACCAAAGTATCAGAGAGACAAAACAAGGTACAATAAGACTTAGTTTAAACCGATTTAACTATCTTGAGAATACTAGGCCAATAGAATAGCTTAAGGGTGGGTGGGTAGGTGGTTTGGGAATGTTAGAGAAATGTGTGTGGATCAAATATAGGATAGATAATGAAAATCTATGAGATTTAGAGAGCGGTGGAGGAGGGAGAATCAAAAGTAGGCCAAAAAAGAACTTAGTTTGATTGATTGTTATGGGAGGAAATTGTGGCTTGATTGAGGGCTGTGGAGGCTAGGGAAATGTCTTGGGAGATAGAGGAAATGTAAGAAATGATGTTAATATGATCCTGACGAAAAGGAGAAGAGAGATCAGCAAGTACCTATAAGGATAACTAGGACTTCCATCAAGATGAACTTACCAACAAGCACTCAATCCGATAGAATAACTTCTTTAATTTTTTTTCTTAAAACAAAAGAAGCCAATTTTTATTCATTCCAGTAAATAGTTAAAGTTTTACGTTAGGTTCGAAATTTTAAATGTCAAAAGCCTAAGAACTTAAACAACAAATAATATATGAGAATATATAAAAAAAAAAAAGATGTGATGTAAAATAGCTCCAATTTCAATGCCTAGGTGGAGATAGAAGGCCAAAACTAATTTAACATAAGGCGAAACAATTTAAAGGCCTAACATATTGAGGAAAATTAATAATTAAATATTCAAATTTTCAAAATTCACAATTTTGAACTTCAAGCTTTATTTATCATCACATTTTAAAATACATTCTTTATCAAAGAATCTTTATAAATACAAGGGCAATGATGGTCTCTTAGCCCTTGATTCCATTTTACGCCCTTGATCTTGATCTCTTGATAGAGCCATCATATTGTTATTGATGTCGATCTAGTGATCAGACCATTATGATGATTTGCATGGTGTTCTGCAACATGGCTTAAATGATCATTATAGCTCCTCCTGTACATTACTTCATTCTTAGATGTACCATCAAAACTATTTGATATTTTATTTTTTTTTTTGCATAAATCATAGCCGAGAAAATCTTTAGGACATTTGAATGATCAATTGGTGATATGTGCATGTCAAGAATGATTTTTCCAGTGATCTTAAGAACTTCTATTGGGCTATATTTTGGACACTAAAGTATTACTTCAACTAAAAACCGCTTTCGCCTCCAAAAAACTACAAGAGCAAAGTAATGATGACTACATTACCTAGTGCTAGTTAAAGCGTCATTTATATACATACCACACAATTTTGATACATTTACATATCTAACACCCATCAATATTTACATATATACCACCCAAATCTTTATCTTCATATAAAAAATACCAATTTCCTTGACTTTTTAAAAAGTGAAAAACACCTTTTCATACATAAATTTTTAATATTAAAGTGCTAAAAATGTAAATATCAAACTTTAGGTGTTAGAAATGTAAATACATAAAAAATGTGCGGATGTATGTAAATTTTCAAAGTTAAAATGCAGTTCAATTGCACTCTTCTGCCGGCTACCAAACCAGGCGCCATCATCAAAGGAGAAAAAGGATGGGAATCTTTGGCAAAAAACTTCTTTATTCAATATAGGTTATCATAACAAAGACAAAATGTTATTTGATACTTTTTATTTCAATATTTTGGTTGCAATACTTTTAATTAGAAAATAGAATGTTTTCGCAAGCTATTGGTGGCTGATTCCCAAAAAAAGGGATTCCATTAAAGTCGGAGGAGGAATACTGTGATTCATTTACAAAACAACAAGCCCAACTAATGACATCCTAGAAAAAAAACCCCTACTTTCCACAACTAAAGCATTAACAAAGTTTGGTAAATCAAATTTTAGATAACATCCAAGAGGACTGTCAGTAAGGGGCTGTTTGGCAACTTCTGAGATTTAAGTTAGTACGATTTAACCTTAATCTTCCAAAATAGTTTAAGGAAATTTTAAACAACTGGATTCATCAAATCTTGTTAAGACTAAAATTTAAGAAATTTACTTCAATCTAATTTACGAAATCTCTTTAAATCCCTCAAATCTTTTAGGCGGTGTTTGGCTACAGCCTGATTTTACGTTAACTGTGATTTACAAATCCAGTAAACCCAGATTTATCAAACCCTGTGTGATGGAGATGGACCTCACGAGCGACGATGGAGTAAATCCCTTAAATCCGCCCCTCAATCGGATTTGGTGTGAGAACTTTGATTTAACTGAACATTGGATTTAATTTTCATTTTCCTTAGTGTTAGGTTGGATTTACTGTAAATTCATACCTAAATCCTTTTAAAACTAAGCTACCAAACACCCCCTTCATCTGCAAAAAAACAGCCCAAATGTTTGATGAGCTCTGAAAAAACGAAAACAAATAATTCAACCATCAGAATTTACTAAATCCTACCTTTCAACCATCAGAATTTACTAAATCCTACCTTTCAACCAAATTTGCCCCCACAGTTCTATCATCCGAGTTCTACTTCGGCAAGATTTACACAAGATTTGGGACAAATCTTGTCAAACTATTCTTAAGCCGCAAAAATCCCGCCAATTTTAAATCACATTTTCCTTCCATTATACCAAAATTTCCTATTTAGCAAATACAGTGAAAGCATAATTTAACACATTCACAATCTATCCAGATTCAAAATCCATCATTCCAATAGATTTTCCGAATTTATTAAATATGAATTTACAAGATTTAAAATATCCGGACGATCAAAAACTTCTAATAACTTATGTCCAGCGATCATCGAACCTTAGATTGCAGAGGAGGATTGAGTTCCTCTGAGAAGAGATAGTGAAGAAATTCCTCAAGCGAGAGAATAGGTCGTGAGACCTTTCCGATAAGCAAACGGTGCCTCTGTTGCCGGATCTGTTCAATGATCCGCTCAGCATCCGCGGTTGTGGTGATCGTCTCTCCCTGCTTGTCCGCCAAAAAGCGGCAGAACTGCTCCGGCCCGATCTGTAATCCGCCTTCTGAGAGCTCGTCGAAAGCTTCTTTCACGTCGGCCGGCGGCTCCGCCGCGCTCCACCGGAACTTCCTCGTGAAACAGAGACAGTACTTGTAGCTACCCATCGCTTCTTTGCTGCAACTTCTCTCTCTCTTTTGGCAAAAGCATATTTATAAATATAACCCCTAGTGGTGTAAAAATTTGAAGAAAATATTCACACAGTGGTCCTCCCAAAAATTTGCGCAGAGCTTTGTATGTCCGAGGTTATTCAAAGAATATTGGGGGTTATAGGAATGTTATAGAGATATTATAGGAGTGTAACCTACATATAAGCCCCCAATAACCTCTGAAGTACGCAGCTCTACGTACATCTTAAGAACATAATTTTTTCCCTCATCAGCGGGCTATATCATGGTATGTGAGGGTCGGTTGTTGGTCGTCCGGATGTTTATACGACTTAACTCAAAAAATTTAGCGTAGGATCGGATCTCAAATTCAAAATTTTAAAATTTTGGGTCAGATTTAGGGTTGAACCTGAAAAACCGAACATACTTGAATAAACATGAAAAAATTAGTTGCTCTTAATTTTTATATCAATAATTATCATATATCAAAAATGATATTTTTTTTAATTTGTTTATTGTTACTTGTTAAATATTTGCTCATTAAATGGGTTGGGCTCGAATTAACCGTATTTGTGTCGAGTTGGGTTCGTGTTTACCTAATTCAGATCGAGTTATTTTTGATCGGACCCCAATCTGACCCGCTGACCCGATATGATATCTCTAATAACCCGGAAATTTTTAAGGTAATTTTACAATTTACATAAGCATTAAAAATTTCCTATATATTTATATAAAAACCTCAAATTCACAGATTTGTTTTTATAATTATTTAATTTTTAAATGATATTATAAAATATCTAACCTTATCTTATTTGAAATTTCATATGATTTCTATGCGTATATCTTTGGGGACTTTGATTGCATGTCTAGCACCGGAAGTTTATTTTTTATATTTATATTATAGATATTTTATATCACATAAAAATATTATTATTTTAATTTTTTAAAATAAATAATTTTTTATGCATAAATAAATGACATATATATCAAAATTGAACGTTATATTCTATATATGTAAATACATAAAATTAAATGCTTTATTTGTAAATATAAATACAATTATTGAGGTTTTAGTTATGTAAATTTATAAGAATTGTATGGTATTTGTATAAATGCCCTTCCAATTTCTATCTAACTGATCTCATCACCGTGGAAAATATTTGCGTACATAAGACATAAGCACGTACGCAGAGCTGCGTACGTCGGAAGGTTATTCAGAGGGTACAAGGGGATTATCTATGCGTTATACGTCTCGTAACTTCACTGTAACCTAACTGTAACATATCTATAACCTACAAATAAGTTCCGCACTTCTGTAGTTCTAGTAAGTGCAGGTTAGTTACAGGGAAGTCATAAGAGGTATAACGTGCGGATATAACTCCCTTGTACCCTCTGAATAACCTCGGACATACGTACTCAAATATTTTCCCATCACCGTGGTAGAAAATAAACTCATAGGTCATATCAATGCTGACATAGTAAATACTTTTTTTTTTAAGTCATGTAAATTAAAAAAATTACCATAAAATTTTCAATAATTGCTCAGTAAAATATCATTCAGTCAAAATGTAATTAAGAATTAAGTAATTAATTATGAATTATAATATTTAAAAAAATAAGATAATCACATGAAAGCCACCCAAAATATTGAAATTTGCAAATTAACCAGTTAAGTGTCTTTTTTTTTTCGAACCACCGATCTAATATATTAATGCATTTTGATAAAAATAAATAAAAAAAATTGCTGGTGTTTTTATGAATTCTGATATTTGAGTGAGAATTTGAAAAATGAATGAATGAGGATGGTTAATTTGTAAATAGTAAGTTTCAGGTGGTGGTCCTCATGTAATGAAAAAATATTACATCAGGACTTTTAATACAGAGCTACGTTCGTAGTCCACTGATATGTGGACACGTGAATGTGACAGAATAATTTTTTAAAAAAAATCGTTTTAACACAGAGGAATGTTCATCCCATGTTATTCCGCATTATTCATGTGTTATTGTGATGATATTCATGTTTTATTGTGTTCTGAGAATATTATCGGTGTTATAATAACACAATAACACATCAATGTCACCACAATAACGCCTGAATAACACAGAATAAAACAGGAGAAATATTTTTTTGTGTTATCAGGCCGGATCATGGGAAAACGTGTGCGTTTCGTTGAAGCCACATGTCTGCATATCAGTGAACTCCAAACATAACTTAAGAGTACTATTGATATAATCATATAAAGGCAAAAAAACTAGGACATTTGCTTTCATAGCATCCAACCTTTCTGTATTTACATAACTCAAATTTTATTGACCCAAATCTTTTATATCACAATAAAAATATCATTTTGTTTTTATATATTTAAAATAAAATAACAATTTTTCATGTTACATACATATAAATATATAGTAATTGAGTGGCACGTGTGTAAATAATTTTACATATTAAATTATTTATTTTAAATAAAATGTAACCTTATTAATTTCTATTTATGAGCCACGTGTTGAAAAGAGCCCACGTGTCCAGCTTGTTATGGATGACGTGGATGTCCGGTGATATTTAATGGAGTTCTGACAATACTGGCCGACAGTCTCAAACCCTATTTATAAATTAAAACTAACGTTAAGTATTTAATTAAAACTGTATTTCAATAACTTATCCAAAAATGCAGTTAATTTTTACGTTAAATGTGAAATGACGAAATGAGGATCGAATCCCGTAATCCGCATTTCCAAATAAATGACTTATCTGGAGAAGCACAAGCTGCCCCAAACGCATCCTTAATCACAGGGTTCATTTGATTTGTCAGTTCAGTAACAGTGCGACATTACAATCGTCTGTTTGAATAAACTGTGTTTTAATAACTTTTTAAAAATATTGCAGCTTAAATTTATGTTTTTTTAGCTGTCGTGCAACTTTCTAGCTACAGTATGATTTTTTTTAAAAAAAATATATAATAAAAACATCAGATTATTTCCCAAACAGCTTCAAAACTATTTTTTAATAAACTACAACTACTATATATATATTGATATGATTTTCTTTCCGGCATCTTAAAATGATTTATTTGATTTTTGGTATAATTACATTCAGACCGCCCAAAATATAGGTATTTACAAATTAACAACTCAGGCTTTGAACTGCCGAACTGATATATTTCATTTGTCATGATCAAACTATTGAGAATCGATAGAATGAAAATTATACATTCGGATTAATATTTGAGTGAGAATTTGGAAAAAAGGACGAAACAGGGTGGTAGATTTGCAAATAGCAAATTTGCAAAAGGCATACAATAGCGCAAAATCCAATGTAAATATGAGCTACAAGTATAAATAAAGCAAAAGATCTGGAGCAAAATGTAACTATGTCAAAGTACGAGATTGTTGAGACTTTGAGATTTATAAAGCATCTCGAACAGCGATTCTGCATGTGACTGCGTCAGAGAGTGAAGAGATGGCAAGCTCCTCGCTGCTTATCTTATAGTGCTGTTAAAGCAATATATATATATATACATATAAATGGTTTATATGAATATTATATTATTTCACTCATATTAGTGAAAAAATATTCCGTCTAGACGACCAATCACCGACCGTCACATCACCTGCCAATGAGGTGTATGACGGTGTAGCGCCCGATGGCTGGCCGTGTAGACGTGCGGTGTCTAGGACAGAATATTTTCTCCCTATTAGGGGCCTCAAACTTAGTACCGAAATTGACCTCACTCAAAATTATTTGACGAGAACTCAACCTGAATATGAGACAAGTTAAGAAGTCTAACCCGAACAATTTGAGTCGTATCAGGCCAAGTTCAGGTCAATTGTGAGTTTGTTAGTCGATTTCGGGTCAGTTTCAGATTTGGGGATCGTTTAAGGTAAATTTTTATTTGCTTGCAGACCCAAAACTCAAAAAATTAATCGAGTCAACCGAAAAGAAATTTTTTGAGTCGGATTTCAAGTTGGATTGCTATGCGAATCAATTTTTGGCACTCCTACTAATATAGTTATATTATAAGGGCATTTTCCTCCTAAAGGAGATAGATCTCAGTGTGGGCGTGTATATATATATAAAAATCAAACCTTTTGTATCAGGGATTGATCAGCTCTGGCTTCCAGTTCTCCCAGATCAATCTCCTTTCCTTTGACTACTTTCACCAAATCCTGCATTTGACATAAATTGAAGTGTATTAACAATAACGAAAAGATAGATTCCTTGTAAAAATTTCCACGGCATCTGGTGGGGCCAAAATGTAAAATTCATATTTCCTTTAAAAATTCCCCAAAGGAATGTGAATTCTCAAATACTTAAAAAGAATGTGACTCTGTTTGGTAAGAATGTGACCCAGTGAATACAGCTTTATTCTAAAAGTTGGTGGGAAAGTTGATATATTTATCACATACACGACAAAATATCGCCTTTGTTGTAAGTTTGGTAAGTTAATTTATGCGTTCTCCCTCTAAGAAACACCTTGAAGCAGTTAGCAGAATTCTCAAATACTTAAAAAGTATACTATGTAAGCGTTTACTCTTTTAAAAGACCACACAACATAATATAGAAGCATACACCAATGCAGATTTGGATTTACTCTTTTAGAAGACCACACAACATAATATAGAAGCATACATCAATGCAGATTTGGAAGGGCTCGGTTGTTGATAATAGATCAACTTTCGAGTACTATTCTTATGTCTAGGAAAATCTAGTTACATGGTGGGGTAAGAAATAGAATGTGATTTCAAGTAGTGCTGAGGAAGAATATCGAACTATGTCTTATAGAGTATGTGAGATCTTATGGCCGAAAAGAATTCTTGAAGAGATATAAACTATGAAAGACATGACTATGAAGTCGTACTGTACCAATAAAGCTGCTAAAGCGTTGCAAAAAATTTAGTGCACAATGATCGCACAAAACAAGTGGAGATTGATAAACATTTTATAAAAAAACAATATTGATTGTGTAGCTCTTTTCATGCATTTCACTCCGACAGCACAACAAAAAGTAGAAATTTTCACCGAAGTACTTTTCAAGCCTAGTTTGAGTTCCTTAAAAGCAAGTTGGGCATGATAGATATCGAATTTCAGGATTTTTTTTCCTTCTATTATCTTCTGTGTTTATTATTTTCTATTCATAGAATTAGCTATTATTGGTAATTCTATTTCTTTTTTTTTCTAGCATGAGGATTTTGTGGCCTTCCTAATGTTGTAGCCTTCCCCTCCTTTTTATCTTGTAAACCAAGTGTTAAAAAATTGAAGAGGAATAATTATTTTTCCCCTCCAAAAACTTACAACATCCATAAAACTCGAATCTTTAACATCACACAAAAAATACCACTTTTATTAACTTTTCTGAAAATCAAATGCACCTTTTTATGCATAGGAGCACCAAGAAGTTATAAATAAAAATATCATACTTTGGGCATTAGATACGTAAATCCACAAGAGTTGTGTGGTACGAATGTAAATTTCCCTATAATTTAATATTGTACCTACCACCTAGAAAATGAAACCCATTGTAAATCATATCAAAAACATTTGTAAATCCGATACGTAAAGATTTACATAGAATATTTTTGGCGAAATTTACATACATGCCACACATATCTAATGTATTTTCATATCAAACATTAAAAGTTTGATATTTACATTCATAACACTTTGGAGTTAAAACTTACATACATGACAAGGTGTATTTCACTTTTAAAAAATTAAAGTTATTAATAGTGATAATTTTTATATAACGTCAAAGATATGTGTGGCATAGATGTAAATATGAAAGTTTAGGTGATTGATATGTAAATAAGAATTGTGTGGAATGTAAGTAAATGGACCATAGTTTTAATAGTTTCTTTGGGCTGCTAAATGCCTAGTATAAAAAGATTTAGATAAGGATATCTTTACTGAAAATTGTTCTGGATTGGTCTCAAAATCATTTGCTTAGCTTCATAACGAGTACAATACATGATTAATCAATCAAATTTCTTATTACACTCACTCAAAGTAAAACAAATGATTTTGATTCTATTCTGGCCAAAATTTAAGTCAAAACAAAAATGACCGCCAAGCATCGGTGCAAGAATTCTATCTATCATCCTCATGTTTAGTGATAATGACGGTTGCATGGAAAGGAAAACATCTTTGTTATGAGTCTTATAATTTCCTAAATATTCTGGTGGAAAAACGAGCAGCATATCAAGAAAAGCGGAAAATGTCAAGGAAATGTATGGGATAAAACTAGAGAAAGTGTCAAAATAGTCTTTGACTCTTTGCAAAGAATCATTTTAATTCCAAAGTATAAAAAGTTCAATCTAGGGTCTCTTTGGGGAAGTTGCAGCTTATTAAAAAATAGTTGTGAAATAGCTGAATAATAATCTGATGCTAAAAAACCTGTGGTGGCTATTACAAATTATATATATTTTTTTAAAGTCAAACCACAACTAGAAAATTGTCACCACGCCTAGCCAGGAGTGATGAAAAAACACAGATTTCAGCGGCAGCTTTTTGAAAAAACTACGGTGTCATGCCGCCACCGTACAGCCGCCCCAAATGGACCCTTAGACTCCAAACTTTTAATATGGGCCGAAATAGTCTAGATGGATGTCCATTTTAACCCCAATTTAAAGATTTTAGTAACTAATTTGACACTTTTATAGACTCTAGAACTAAAAATGATCAAAAGTAAATGAACAAGGAACTATTTTGCCACTTTAAACGATAAAAATAAAACTGTGGTAGATCTACTGTAGATACAGAATCAACAGTAACCATCCAAACAAAGTAGTCATGCAATTGAACAAATAGAAGTCTTACTCTAAAATTCATAGTCTATTTACTTAAAAAATGTAACTTGGTTTCCTTGTAACATTCTGCAAGTTTATCTGATGTAATTCAGCTAATGAACTGGGGTAAAGTGCATATAGTTTATACTGATTATAAAAGATCTACACTAACAGACAGGCAGGACGATTCACTAAACACAAAAATATTATGGGGCATTTACATACAAACCACACAAATCTTATATGTTTACATATCCAACACCTTAACTTTGATATTTAAATGCATATCACTCAAACTTTAACATCACATCAAAAATACCACTATTACAATTTTTTAAAAATGAAATACAAATCTTCATGCATAGATTTATAACAACTGTGCTTGAAATGTAAATATCAAACTTCAGGTGTAAGATATGTAAATACATAAGAATTGTTGAGTATGTATGTAAAATCCCAAATACTATTTTCATTAAAGTCTCTCAGTATAAGGAAGGTTAGAGATGTCTGACGCGTTCACCTCATCGCCGGCAGCATCAAAACGAACTGCAAGAATGTAGGTTGTTTTATCGGAGATTCCAAACCTCTTCAATGATTCAGTAATCTATCACAATATAAATTAAAAAACAATAAATCCATGCGATTATAAGAAAAAGATGCAAAAAAAGTAAAAGACTATTACTGGTTGCGGAAAGGTAAGTAATTACATGCTTAGAACCCGAATAGTTATAAACTATCTCCGAATGAAGACTCCGAGTTGTCAGAGACTCCCTTGATTTTGCTATAATAGCGTTATACGCAGCTGCTAGAACGGGGAATACATCTGGTATCTGTTTCAATGACCATAAATAGAAGGCCATACATCAATCTCACAGAACATTGAAGTGGAGATGGATTATAAAAAAAAGGGAAAGTTTACAAACATACGACAAAATTTCTATGCATTTACATATCTAACACACAAAGTTTGATGTTTACATTTATAAACACCTTATATTAAAAATCTATACATAAAAAGGCGTATTCTTTTAAAAAAAAGTAGGTAATAGTGGTATTTTTTATGTAATATCAAAGAATTGAGTGTTATGTACGCAAACATGAAAGTTTAGTTGTTAGATATTTAAATATATAAGTATAGTGTGGTATGTATGTAAATGCCCCAAAAAAAAAAGCTCTACAAATGACTGAAGTTATAGTAGAACCAAAAATCAAAGAGGAAGCCAATCATGAGCCAAGACGACTTGTGAGCTGGCTCGAGCTTGACTCAATATGCAGCTCATAAGCTATGCTAGATGAGCTAACAAGCCAAGCTCAAGTCAACCCCAACTAGACTTGTTAGCTCACAAGCCGGTTCATTTAAACAAATAGTAACATAAAATATACTGAAAATATAATAAATTCAATATTTTATTTTGAATGATTAAAAATGCAAAAAAAAAAAATATTTTATATTGAATATCAAGTGATTTCTTATTAGTTATTTCCTAGTTGCTCATTCTATTTGTCATTTTATCATATCAATAGTTTGAACTATAATAAACAAGCCGGCTCAAACTCGTAAAATTTAGCTTGAGCTAGAGCTCTAACTCGATTGGTTAATCAAACTCAAACTATGGCTGGCTCAAGCATGACCCCACTCGACCCGTTTACATCCATATATGTTAGATGGAAACAGAAATACTTATCGAACTTGCGACAGGAAACACTGAAGAAATTCAACAATAAACCAAATGTATTATGAATGGAGCATACCAGCGATGCATTCATAAGCGCAACTTCTGGTTCTAAAGTTCCTGCTTGAATGGACTCAAGAAGTTCCCTGAAATTAAATGTTAGAATCTCATTTTCACGAGTTAAACATTCAAATTTTCATATGAATTTAGCTCATAGCTTGAGTTGTTGACCTCAAAATTGCAAAAATTACAGGAATAAGAGGCTTAGGGATGAACATCAGATAATTGGAAGGATGACATAAGGCAAACAAGAAAATTACTACGACTGAAACAACATATTATGGAAGAGGAATAACACTTGGAAGACATGCTTTCAAAGTGTTTATGAAAATAACTTTTCAGTAATAAATAAATGGAAAATTTACACACATAACACACAATTCTTATGTAATTACATATCTCTCACCTAAACTTTCATATTTATATAAATAGCGCTTTGGCATTTTAAACTTATGAATGAAAAAGGTATAATTCACTGATAGTGTATGTTATGTGATATTAAAAATTTGAGTGCAATGTTCAGGTGATGTTCTTGCTACTACAAGTCAACAGCAATAATTACGGATTGCCCTTCAAACTATGACAAGAGCTTACCAAAACTTGTTGAAGTGAATGCTGGATAACTGATATATTACTTAGGAGAATATGATCACATTAGCCAAACCAACCTCTTAACTGGTCAACAAATAGCAACCTACTTGTATCAATAATAAGAAATATTTAAATACGTACCACTCAATTCCTATTCATTTACATATCTAACACCTAAACTTTATTTTTCACGCACATATCACGTTGCCTGTGCATTACATTTTAAAAGTCAAAATAGTGATATTTTAGATGTGATGAGAAAGGTTTGGGTGTTGTTATTGTAAAAATCAAAGTTTAGGGGATAGATATGTAAATACATAAGAATTGGATGGTATGTATGTACATTTCCCTAAAAATAATTTTACATGGGAAGGTTTTAGAAGGAATGAAAAGAGAAGCCTGGGATAGAAAACCTACTTGCTGTTGCACACATCAGTGAAGAGGGAAAGGGAAACAATGCTTCCAGCTACATTGAACTCTTTCATCTCTCACAGCCTTCCGATTCCACAAGCAAAAGGAAAAAGCTTTCACTTTTATTTGGCGTAACCGTATGCTAAGACTCTGGAGAAAAGTTGTAACAAGATTTTAATTGAATTAGAGTATATAAAAAAATAAAAATAAATAAAATAAAAAATAAAAATCGGGGATAAAGCTCAGATGGTAGAACGCTCGCTCTCCATTTAACTAATTTGCCGACCCCACGTAGTTGGATTAAAACTTTAAAGTTGTTATAGTTGTTGTAGAATATAAAATAAGAAAGAGGCATTTACAAACATACCGCACAATTCTTATATATTTATATATCTAACACTTAATCTTTGATATTTACATGGATACCACTCAAATCTTTAACATCACATAAAAAAATATCACTATCATTAACTTTTAAAAAGTGAAGTCCAGGTTTTCATGCATAGGTTTATAACACCAAAATGTTAAAAATGAAAATATCAAACTTCAGGTATTAGATAAGTAAATGCATATGAATTATATGATATGCATGTAAATTTCCAAATAAGAAACTACAAGACACACAATATTAGGATTCAGAATAAATGCATGCAAAAATTGCCCATTATGCCAACAAAGAGGATGGACAATAACGTAGATATCCAAGTCAATAAATGAAGATTGCGCATAACAATGTCAATAACCATGTTTCATGCAAAAAAACTTGATAACACATTAATAGTTTAATAAACAATGTATGATAAAAGACTAATCCTCTCCCAAAAATTTCTCAAAGTTTAGCATAAATATCATAATTGTTGAAGGAAAAAAAATATATATTTTCTATTTTGAAAACAAAACTAAACATCAACAACAAAATACAATAAAATGCAAGAAACCAAAAGTATTTTGTTTCTTTGTGATGGAGAGAGAGCCAAAATTTATCATTTCCCATGACAATAATAAAGAAAATGGCTGAATGCCGCAGTAATACTTAGAGGATGCAATCAAGTAATAAAGAAATGACTTTAGACTAGAATAAACAGAGTAAGGGCCCGTTTGGCGCAACTTATTTGTTGCGGTGCACTTTGAAAACACAAACGGAGGTGTTTGATTTGGGTGTGTGGGGTGCGTTTCGCGATAATCTGTGAAAACTTTTTATTAAATGCGCCGCGACCCGCATTCGCATGAAATATTTTACGGGGCTGCCCTCTTGCGCTTCGTCTGCCCTCATCCAGTCCCAAAGAGAAGTCGCAGAGGAGAAAAAGATTGAAGGATATGCTTGCTCGCCACTAGCCACACATCGCCTCGCTCTTCGTCACAGGCTGAAGCCTCACCTACATCACTCCTGCTCTCCTAGTTTCGCCCAAAGCCATCGCCTTCTTAATGAAACCTCGCAATACAATCACGATTAGAGCAAGTAGGGAAGTTCACGATGGATTCGTGACATACAAAGACCAACGATACTCCCATCTTTCTCATCCTTCCACTCTGCTCCTACCATAAACCATCAGGGAAAGTAAGCCTATTCACAGGACCCTTCCAAATGTGGATGTTATAATTTTGGATTCCAGTGGCATTTCTTCCTAACTAGTTGACATTTTTGTTGTTAATAGAAAATTAAGGCATACCTATATTAGCACTAATTTTTTTCAAGTGGATTTAGTGACAGGACTCGTTTTTATTGTTTATTAAATAGGATGATTTTTTTTATAACATTTTATTTTTATGTTATTATCTTATTTTTTGTACTGTTATGAAGTAGTTTTTTCATTCTAAACTATCAAATATATAGTCAAGACGGTCTTGTTGCAAACAGCACAACTGCACAGAAACAGAATGATCATTTATTCATAAATAGCTGCAAATCAATTATTTTATAAATGCACAAATCAAACAGCCAGCCAGTATATTCGGATCAACTGTTTATCAACAGCTTCTCTGGATTAACAACTTATCTGAATAAGTTAGATAAGCTGCAGCTGCCCCTAACTGTTGATTTATTACAAGTTTTGCTAAATAGTACCATATAATTTTATGTTATTAAGAAATCTTTGTTGTTTGATTTAGCGAAATCCTTAAAGCAACATCACCAGTAGCAAAGTTTTATCAACTAAAATTTGGCTTCATTAATACTCATTTTGCGCTCATTTACGCTAAGTGTTTGCATGAGGGGTTAAATTTCATTTCTATAAGTCCTTTTCACAACTTCATTTATATTCCTTTAACATTAATATAATCTCATCTTAATAGTACATCTTCTATCATTCATTTTACATGCATAAACTACTTAAGTCTTTTTCATGTTCAACAGATGTTGTATTTCCATAAAGAATCTTCTTTGGATAGTAATTTAATAAATAATAACACTATTTTAATAACAATTGGATATCAGCTAAGCTCAACTACAAATGATGCCCATATCAAATAATATTTCATACTTGGGATATTTCGGGGACTTTCATTTTCATTTTTGGAGGTCTTAGTTTCATTGATCCATCCAAAAAAACATTTTATTAAAGATATTTCTAAACCAAATAATGCATTGAATTTAAAAAACAACAACATTATCTAAATAAAACTGCTATCTTTGTAACACATATATCCAGATAATATTAAACAAAACAGCACAGAAGTATTATGCAAATCCCAGTGCTATTGAGATGTATTATCTTTTAGATCTTGTATGTTCGGATCAACTATACTGTATTTAAATATTTATTGTAACTGTTTGGTTCGATGTTAAAACCTAAATCTTCTAAAATCCTTAAATGCTGTGATTCAGCAACTCCTAAATTCAACTAATAACAAGACTGAAGCACGATTCACAAAAACAGTTCGATTTCAGACTCTAAAATTCTGTTTCACGTGATTTAGTGATCAGAAGGTTCTGCGGATTATAGGAACTGAAGAGCTCGAAGTGGGTGGGGAAGATGATGGTTACCTCTTTCTTCTTCTTCGTCGACAAATCCTCTTCTCTTGGCGCGCCGCTGGTCCCTTCAATGCCTTCTCCGGCGAGCTCCGGTCGAGACTTCTCACTGTCGTCGGCTAGGGTTTTGGTGAATTGGGTAAGAGCTAATTGACGGGGAAGAATATTACACCAGGACGAAGTCCACTTTCACTGATATGAGAATAGACAGAAAAATTAAAAAAAAATCATTTTAACACAGTAAAATATTTCTCTTATTATTTCGCATTATTCAGATTTTATTGCGTCTCACTATTATAATAACACAATAACACGTCAATATCATCATAATAATACATGAATAATACAGAATAACACTAGAGAAATATGTTCTCGTGTTACCAAGCATGATCACAAGAAAGCGCGGACGTTTTCTTGAAGTCATGTATCCACATATCAGTTGACTCCGAACGTAGCCCTACATTAGGGGTCCTGAAATCATATTTTTTCCAATTAACCGACACCATCATTGCTATTTCATTACTTTTTCTTTTATGCATTTTGATATATTTTGAATTATTAATATTTATGAATAATCATTAAAAGTGGATATACTAATTTGATTTTTAATTAATTTTAATAAATAATACCGATTAATTAAAAATGTAGCTTAATCAATATGATATGATTTATATTTTTAATTTAAATAAAGAGAAATTAAAATATTGAATTATATTTTTATTTTTCGAGAAATAAAAGGCCAAAAATAGGAAAAAAAGTTCAAATTTATTGAGTGATATTTTTAATATATTAAAATTTTGAGTGGTACGTTTGTAAATATGAAAGTTTAGATGTTATATATGTAAATATATAAAAAATTTATGGTACGTATGAAAATCCACCCGCCATTGTTTTTTAATCATTAATGTTTTTGTTTTATTCGCATTATTATTGGTTTACTCCACATCTCAATCGTAACTCATCATAAGGATAATGCTTGGTTTATTTGATGAGGCAAAACTATTAATTATAGTTTGCATTCGATGCCTACTGCCAACTATTAATTTACTTTGCATGAATTTTTAGGGATGGCACGGATTTCAAGGCAATTTTTGAGTTATGAACATTTTGGCTTCGATCAAGAGTCGTCAGGAGCTTCAATTTCAATAAACTTATATTCAAAGTGGTCGGCTTGATGAGACGGACCCGATGATACTAAAATTGATATGAACCAGGTCAAATCAAGTTCAGATCAAGTCATCAGTCATTTTTAAAAGCTTTTCGAACATATTTGAGATGTCAAATTAATATCGAATCTGATGAGTTTGTGGTTGAATTGAGTGTTTCGACAAGACGAATCCAACGAACCCGATATCGCTCAATTTTGACATCATTAAAGAACTCAATTTTCTGTTAAATATCGTATGATCAAAGGAAACACTCTAAACCGAATGATCAAAGTGGTTCAGATTTTTGCATTAATTGCATATGAAATTCTACAAATAGAGTCACACATCTCTCATGGGAGAGGGAGAGAGCCGTAGAATTCATGAAGTGCTTAAAACTTTGAGAATGAGCTTAAGCCCAACATCACTCATGCCGCCAACAACCACCGTCGACCGGTCGCCGCCCGTTCCTTGTAATAAGTTCATCCACTCGTCAATGTTGTAATTCGGAAGACTTTATAACTATTTTCCACTTATGGGACAAGGGGTCTATGCAATCAGCAACTTATATTAGATTTTTACAACTATGTCAGACCCCTGGTTTTTTCACTTTATGAGTTTTTCACATAAAAACCTCTTATGTCTCTGCTAGCTATTTAATTATCTGAGTGTGTGTTGAATCTTCGTGTAACACAAATGCGATAATCTATTACTATACCGCCACGAATCTTCTAGCATGCATCAATACTTAGCAATAAGTATGTGATAAAATTTGATGATTTTATTTATGAATTAGCCAAATCAACTAATTTTCCTCATAAAATTTGGAAAATGAAATCAATTAAATTATCTCGAAATTAAAATTAATCAGACCATGCTTTAATTCAGGCATTATTGGATGAATACAAAAATAACAAATGTTAATATATTAAGAAATCCTTAGTCAAAATGTAGGATATTGGACCCATATATGATTGTCGGTAGCCGCTTCTTCGTTGGGTTTGCTCTACTTTATATGCATGACTCGCTTAGATGCTATTATAGGACACAATACGTCATATGGTGTGCTCGACTAAGGACTAGCATGCTAGGTAGTCTTTTTCGATGCCCTGATTATAGTTATCTGTTGGCTTGGTTGCCCTAGCCATACATTGGCTTTTGTGTTGCTTTATATGTTTAATGAGTGTGAGATGTGTGCACTAGTATGTTAGAGCGGTCTTCTTGCAAGAAGTCATGCCTAAAACTCACACACAAACGTGTAAGAGGGAGGAGCAAGTAATGGTTTGAATGAAACTCTTTTCTGCATGTTATATGGCGTCCATGTGATAATCAGAGATGTTATGAAACCAATTATTCTCAAGGATCGACTATATTAGAAAGCAAAATATCATAATGAGCTGCATTTTTGGTACTGGTAGGCTCGTAAGCTCTTTTGTTCTCGTTTTTAGCTGAATGCATAGTTCAGGCTCAGATCATCTAGTCATCTTATGTCCGCCTCGTGCTCCATCAATTTAATTTTGCCAACTTAGCTCAGACATCTTCATTTTGTAGAACAAGTTTGCCTCCCATCCTCTTAATAGCGAGTCAACCATCAACTTGCTCTTCGCATCTGAATCATTTGATCTGTTCAAGATCCGTGCTGACACATTTTTTATATACATCGACTTAAAGATACAAATATAAAGTTTAAGGTGTTAATCTACAATCATTACGTGGCATCATGTTGTTTTTTTAAAATATAAAATAAATACTTAAATATTATTCATCAAGGGCGGTTATTTTCATATATTTAATGCCATCCCTTCTAATTCCAGAGGAGGTGAAATTGCTGCGGAAGCTCTCGCAGGGTCGCAGTCTCGCACGATATTTTGTTCGTTTCCTCTTCTCGATCGCCAGCTCGCCGCCATAAATCTCAGGTCTAAATCTCAAAGGTATCGAAAAATTACTTTGATTTGTTCTTCAAAACCCTAAAGCTATAATCGATAATCTATGCCTCGAGGTCTGCTCGTCTCTCTCTTCCATCTTTTCTGTTGTGTTTTTATGGGGCTTTGAATCTCCCATGGCGATGCCCTAACCGTGCTTTGGTCCTTTGCTTATTGAAATATTGTGTTGGATTTTTCTTTCGTTTTCTCAGTTTTTTTGTGTTGGATTCTTTGTTCTGAAGTTCGGCAATTAATTGACAATTATCACACATCTTGTTCCAGTTTTTTTTTTTTTGGATTATATAGTTTCGGCGATTTTTTTCTATATTAGATTTGGGCTTTTCAAATCAATACTGTATGGGGGAGGGAACCGAATCTCGAGAAAAAAGGGCTGCAACTTTTTTGTTTTTCACAGAAACATATACGGATTAGAGCTTTTTCACATCGGGAAACATTTATGTTTTAAATTTCTGGATGGTATATTCTTTAGATGATTAGGATGTGATTTGAGATGTGGAAGGAAGATTGGGATTCCTTGTCTGTAATGTTGATAGGGGACAAGGAGAAGGTAGAATGGAACATTCTCAAAAGGGGATAAGAAAGGAGATGCTCAGCTGTGTTTTCTTACTGATAGTTCTTAAACAAGCGAAATGTGTTGATATTATTATTTGGTAGGGAAGTTCTCATACATACCACAATTTTCTTATGTACTTAACATGTCTAACACTTAAAATTTTGATATTTGCATTTATATAATCACATCAAAGCGGAAGGTCGAAAAGAATCATTCAGTCTAAACAAAAGTTGGGAAATTTACACATGTAAAATGTAATTCTCATGTATTTACAGATACAACATTTTGATGCTTTAATGCTATGCATGAAAAGGTGCTTTTCACTTCAAAAAGCTGGCAGACATTATCAGGAAGTTTGAGCATCTTTTTTATAGTGGATTTTTTGTGTAGCCTTTTGGTCTTTTTTGTGGAAAGATCTTTTTTATAGGATCAAATGACTCATTACTTATTCTTGCTGTCCGTGCATGGGCTTGCAAGTTGCTACAATAAAGAGAAACAAAACCAAAGGATCTAGTGTGAGATTCTGATCGACCACACAATTCTTATGTATTTAGATATTTAACACCTAACATTCTTATTTACACACGTACTATTCATTCAAATCTTTAACATCACATCAAATATATCACCGTCACTATCTTTTTAAAAGTGAAATACACATTTTCATGCATAGGTTTGTGACACTGGAGTGTTATAGGTGTAAATATCAAACCCTGGTTGTTAGATATGTAAATACATAAAAATTGTGTGGTATGTATGTAAATTTCCCTTTTTTTTGGCATTGCATTTAGTTATGTAATTGAACTAACAAGTTAAAGTTTTGTATTTTCTTATATAATGAATTACCAAGCAATTTTCATTTCACTTGGATCAGTTTTCTCTAACTGTGTTGCAGGCAATATCAAGTTGTGTCGAAAATTCATACTTTAGAGGAGGATCTAAGCCTCTTAACAATCTATCTAAACCTGAAATTAGTCTTGTTTGGGCATTGAATTCTCTGAAATTCTAATGTCGATCTATTTTGTTTTTTTACCCATTTTTGCAAGTCATTATCCTTAAGTTTCTGCATCTCAAATCGAATAAGTGGTTTGTTGTCTGCAACAAATAATCTAAACTATTTGTTAATATTTCCAGTAAATAATTTGCTTCTGATGTTTTTATAAATTATTACATAAGTTTTGGTTTATTTCTCCTGTTTTCGTTGGATTTTGATGGCTGGAAGCTATGATAGTTTTCTGCTATCCACATTTTTTTTTTAAATTGTTATTTGTAGAGTTGAAAGTTTCTGATATTCATTTTCATGTTCTGTAGAATTGAAATTATTGTTTTGGGTATCTAACTTGATCCATATTTTTCTTGGGATGTTTACTTACATAGCACCCAATTCTTATGTATTTACACATCTAACACCTAAACTTTCTTTTTAGAGTTATACCACCCAAATCTTTCATATGGCATATTTTAGCTTTAAAAAAGTGAAATACACCTTTTTATGTAGGTAAGGGGGCATTTATGTAAAAATTAAAGTTTACGCGTTTGATATGTAAATATATAGGAATTGAGTGGTATGTATGTATGCCATTCATTTTTCTTCGAATTCATTTTTGAAAGTTTCAAGCAAAGAATTAAACTAATATTAGAACAATATTCTTCTCTCATATTCATTTCTCATGCTTGTGAGGTTGAATTTGGATTAGTTATGAGTATCTTAATTGCTTACATTTTCCTTTTGAGTCATGATTCTATTAAAACATATATATGTTGAGTGTGTTGTTACCCTTAACGTGCACTCCCCCTGTCTTTTTAGTTATTTATGAAGTTTTTTTCTTGGGCATTAACATACATACCACCTAATTCCTATGTATTTACACATCTAACACCTAAACTTTATTTTTTATATTTATACCACCTAATTATTTCACATCACATAAACAATACCACTATTTTAAGTCTTAAAAAGTGAAATACACCTTTTCATGCACATGTAAGGTAGCATATATGTAAAAATTGAAGTCTAGGCATTAGATATGTAAATACATAGAAATTGAGTGCTATATATATATGCAAATCTTCCCTTTTTTTGTATATCCTTGCCCCATGCATGTGCTTGAAGAAATTTAATTTTCTGACAATCAAGCTCCAAAATTTATGAGTGTCTAAATTGTGGATAAACATGATTGTGATATAGTCGGAACTAACCGTGTTGTCGGAGTATAACATTAGATGGGCGAGCAAATCACCATTTTCCTCTATGATGATAGTTTAAGTTTTATTTGTTTTATGTCGTGGAGCTTAATTTTTTGCTCGATTAAGGAAACACGCTAAATTTATTGGAAGATTAACATACATACCCCTTGTTTCTCATGTACTTAAATATCTTAACACCTAAACTTCAATTTTTACATACATACCACCTTAATTATGCATGCAAAGGTGTATTTCACCTTTTAAAGATTAAAATTGTTGTGATATGAAGGATTTGGGTGGTATAAAAGTAAAAAAAACGAAATTTAGGTATTAGATGTGTACATAGGAAATGGGTGTTATGTATATGCCCCAAATAGATTTAGTAGTGTGCTGTCTTCATGTCTTGGTTGGATGTGTTTTGAGCATTAATCTTTGGGAGCATTTACATACGTATCATAGAATTCCTATGTATTTATATATCTCGCACTGAAACTTTCATATTTACACATATGCACTCAAATTTTTAATATCACATAAAAAATAACATTATTGTCACTTTTAAAAGTGAAGCATGCCTTTTCATGCACAGGCTTAGACCACCAAATGTAAATATGAAAGTTTAGGTGTGAAATATATAAATACATAAAAATCGTGTGCTACATATGTAAATTTCCTTTAATATTTGCTTCTATTTTCTATTATTCTGCTTTGAGTTATTAAATTAAGTTTTTCCTAACGCTAATTCTTTTTTAAAAGTGATGTCCCAGTTGGAAAGGTCATAGGCTTAGCTTTTCTTTGATAAAGTGCTATCTTTGAATTCTACTTTTCAAAAGAATCTCGACTTGACTTCTATGCTAGTTATTTCTTCAGGACATATACATATATATATACATATATACCACCCAGTTCTTTATATTTGTATAACCCAAATCTTTTATATCACCTAAAAATGTCTCTATTTCTGCACCTCTACATGCAAAGATAAGGTACATATATGTAAAAATTGAAAGTTTAAGTATTAGATATGTAAATATCTAGGAATTGATTGGTATGTATGTAAATCTTCCTATTTCTTCTTCTCTGCACTTATCTAATGCAAATCATGTTTTCACTCCCTTTGCATTTTTTTTTTTTTGTTGTTGTGAAGATTTACATAGATACCACCACTCAATTTCTATGTATTTCCGTACCTAAACTTTAATTTTTAAATTCATACCAGCTTGTCAATGCATTAAAACGTATATTTGACTGTTTAAAAGTTAAAATGATGGTATTTTTTATGTGATATGAAAGATTTGAGGGGTATAACTGTAAAAAAGTAAAATTTATGTTATGGATATGTAAATTCCTATGAATTGAGTGGCGTGTGTAAATGGCCCCGTTTTTTGGTTTAGTTTTTTATTCATTTATTTAATTTTGTTCTTTTCAACAGATGGGAGAGCGTGCAATGGCAAGCTCCCAGGTCTCTGAAGTCAACATCGACGTGATTCCGGGCTCCTCAGCAGCCGCCACGGGTAACAAGGTTTGGGGCGGCCCAGCCTGCGATTTCTCCGATAGCAAAAACAGCTCGAAGGATGCCAGAGAAAGATCTGCATCCATGAAAAAGCTACTGATGGCTGTTGTTCTCTGCATCATATTCATGACAGTGGAAGTAATCGGCGGGATCAAATCAAACAGTCTCGCCATCCTAACCGACGCCGCCCACCTCCTCTCGGACGTCGCCGCCTTCGCCATCTCCCTCTTCTCCCTCTGGGCTTCGGGGTGGGAAGCGACGCCTCGCCAGTCTTACGGGTTCTTCAGGATTGAAATTCTTGGAGCTCTGGTCTCCATTCAGCTCATATGGCTCCTAGTCGGCATTCTGGTCTACGAAGCGATTGTGAGATTGATATACGAGAGCGGCCAAGTGGATGGTTCGTTGATGTTCGCCGTGTCAACCTTTGGCTTGGTTGTCAACATTATCATGGCCGTGTTGCTTGGTCATGATCATGGCGGCCATGGCCATGGTCATGGTCATGCTCATGGCCATCATGATCATGATCATGGTCATGAGCATTCTGACCATGATGATGATCATGATGATGGGCATGATCACCACCTCGAGCACGGCGAAGAGCACTTCCATTGCCATGGTGTCAGCGTCACATGCCATCATCATCATAATAATCAACATCATCATGATGTGAAGGAGCCTCTTCTAAACCATTCAAACCCTAAACCTGCCTCCAACAAGAAGAAGAAGCAACAAAAGAGAAATATAAACGTTCACAGCGCGTACCTCCATGTGCTCGGTGACTCCATCCAAAGCATAGGGGTGATGATCGGAGGAGGGGTCATTTGGTGGAAGCCGGAATGGAAGATTATCGATCTACTATGCACCCTCATATTCTCGGTGATTGTGCTCGTGACGACGATAAGGATGCTGAGGAGCATACTGGAGGTTCTGATGGAGAGCACGCCGCGGGAAATCGACGCGACGATGCTCGAGAAAGGGCTGTGTGAGCTCGAAGGCGTGGTCGCCATTCATGAGCTTCACATATGGGCCATAACAGTGGGGAAGGTATTGCTGGCCTGCCATGTGATTGTCACACCTGAGGCTGATGCTGATGATGTGCTTGATAAGGTGATTGGGTATATAAAGAGGGAGTATAATATAAGTCATGTGACTATTCAGATTGAGAGGCAGTAGAAGAAATAATTTGAAGGTTTTTTTTTTTTTTTTTTTTTTTTTTTTTTTTTTTTTTTGTGGTGGAAGATTGGTGGATTGGGATTGAGAGAAAGTGGTGTTGCTAATATGATGTTCAATTTCTGTGATTTGGTTGAGCTATTTTTTGCTTTATTTATCTTCTTTTTTTTGGAAGATTTACATGCATACCCACTCAGTTCTTATGTTTTTACATAGCTAAACACTTCAATTTTTATATGCATGCCACTTCAACCATGCATGAAATGGTGATGTTACATTTTAGAAGTGAAAATGGGGGGTATTTTGATGTGATATGAAAGATATGGGTGGGGTATGAATATAAATGAAGTTTAGATATGTAAATACGTAGCATTTGTGGGGTTTGTAAATGACACTCTTTTTTAGTGGAATGAAGATAATGGTTAGGGTCATGAGGTGCTCTTGATGGTTTATGACACTAAAAATGTTTCAGGCGTAAGTTACGTCCGGACAACAGACAGATACATTAGAAGGGGGGTTTTTTTTTCTCTCCTCAGTCATGTCCAGTAAATCGCGTCTGTTGTCCGGATGTAACTTTGAGTACTTTGAACGCAATATTTTTTTTTACGACACACTATGATGTAATTTGAGTGTGTGTTACTTGGAAAAAATAATGTTTTAGGAAGCATTTCATTAGTTTTGTTATTTTGCATAACATCATAAGCTATATTGTTGCATGAAATCATTTTGTATGGAATTGGAAAAAAGTGATATTTTGGATGGTTGTGAGTATTATGAATGATGTTATTTCAAATGCAGTGAATTATGGCCATGATGATTCATCATTCATATGCATTTAAACATAAATAAATAAAGAAAATATCATAAAATTATTGATGAGAAATATTTGATGATTCTTATGAATTTACATATCTAACACCCAATGTATATTTTATTTTTATATAGTTCATGAAGGTAGCATTTTTAATGTGAAGCTAAATGATTTGAGTGGCATTAAAGTAAATATGAATACTTAAGTGTTAGATATGTAAATGGGCATTTACATACATGCCACCCTATCCATACATGAAAGGGTGTATTTTACATTTTGGAAGTAAAAAATAGTGATATTTTTATATGACATGAAAGATTTGGAAAAAAAAAAAATGTAAATATTAGAATTAAGATTTCAGAAATGTAAATAGGCAAAGATTTGAGTGGCATGAATGTTAATACCCCCTTGCACAATTTTATTAAGAGAGTATTGAATATCAGCACTATATAATGACACTCATAATTAATGTCATGAAAAATATATTTTTTTTATGAAGCATAAGAACAAATAAGGCATTTGCTACAATTAAAATTCTAATGAATTTTATACAAAATTCTTATTTAACGAACGAAACGAACACATGCTTCTCTCCAATTTCATATTAGCATACATTAGATGTAAATAATGGGAAAAAATATTACTTCAGGAATACAGATGCATCAATACTCCAATGGGGAGGTGTCACGTGACATTATCGTGGGACCATTACATATGTGGCACCTCTTCATTGGAGTACTGATGCATCAGTACTCTTGAGGTAATATTTTTTCAAATAATGGGTTATTAATGTCAAACTCTTTTCAAACCATTCAAAGACCATAGAAACTTTCTTAATTAGATATGTAACATTGAGAATGTAAGTTAACCACAATCTTTCAAAATCAATAAGTGCTCCCATTGAGAAAAGTACATACATATTACATACATAGCACCCAATTCACATGAATTTACCCTTCTCACACCTAAACTTTCAATTTTACACTCATAACATTTTATCTATAGATGAAAAAATATATTTGACTAATTTCATATGATATTTGTAATTATGATAGTTTAGGTGTGACATAAATAAATATGAAAATTTTGAATGCTACCTATGTTAAAGCCCCTTAACCATTTTGGAAGCATTAACTTTGCAAAAAAATTAAACATTCATAATAATTTTGATGACAAAATAGTAAATTTTGAAGATATTTATGTAAAATGTGGAAGATTCATGACACAATTCAAAATTCTATATATATAAAAAAAATTGGAGGATTTACATTCATATCAATTTTTCAAAATTACATAAAGAACCATATATATATATATATATATTGATGTAATTTAAACACTAAAAAAACAAATATTCGACACGATGAAAGACGTAATTTGTTTCGCACTTTCGGGGGCATATATTGAGATTGCAAAGTTCAAAGGTTGATGATGAAAAAAATGAAGTTGAAGAGGGGGAACTTGAAAGAACTTGCAATTATGAAACTATCTGCATAATTTTAATTTACAAGAAAAAAAAAATATAATAAATCAAGCAGAAGCAACAGCAAGAAAATATGTCATACTCATTGAAAATAATAATAAAAAAAAAGTATATAAAACATAAATATGATTTATATATATATTTAGTATATTTGCTTGATGCAAATTTATAAAAAATAGAACAAAAATCACTATGTAAGCTTTAGATTCTCATGAACTTATCTATGTATTGGTCATTTCTTCAGTTTGAAGCACTGTTGAGTTTGCCTCTAGTTTAGAATGAGTGCACCCTGCCAGCAAATAAAAAGGGGGGCATCTTCTCATGCATAGGTAAAGGTGTCATATATGTAAAAATTAAACTTTAGGTGAAGCATTTTTTGGGCTGTCAAATGACTCTTTGTTCGGCTCGTTAAGAAGCTCGTGTTCAATTCGTTTGCTAAATAAACGAGCCAAACACAAACACTTTTTTTTTAGCTTGATATATAAACGAGCCAAACACGAACAAAGATTTGTTCGTTCGTGTTTGGCTTGAAATATTACTCATCAATTTTACATATTTATATATATAATTGATGAATAGTATTTAAAAAAAAAATAATTGACTACAAGGCTACAATGATTTAAAGTCAATCCAAATAATTAATTAAAAAAATAGAATAAAAATATATTAAATTATATTTGAAAGATGCTTTATTATAAACAGTAAGTTTTAAATCTTGCCCCAACCTTTAACATCATACAGTTGCGTGATTAGGATTTGTCAATATGACTCTTTGTTCGCAAACAACTCGTGTTCGACTCGCTAAGCAAACAAGCCGAACACAAAGACATTTTTTGTGTTCGAAATATAAACGAGCAGAACACAAACAGAGTCTGGGCAATTGAACACGAACAAAGCCTGGGCTCACTCGTGTTCGACTCGTTTACAGTCCTAAGCATATGTAAGTACATAAGAAAAAGGTGATATGTATGTAAATCTTCCAAAAAATAATAGTAATAAATTATTTAGAAAATTCATATGAAGATACTTTAAAAATAAGTACAAGAGATGAAATATTTGGAAAGTGTGTAGAGTTTTCTGAGAATGGGTTGGCTACATACAGTGTTGAGAAGTTTGAAGGCTGCAGCTCGTGTGAATTTCCTTGCAAAGAGGAAGCACGGCGACGGCTTCCCTTTGCTGCTACACCATTCTCTCCTGTACTCTGTCTCGTAGTATATGTTATCTATTTTCTGTTCATGAAGGAGCATGATAAAATGCTAGGATAATTAATAAAAATAAAAAATAATAATAATAAAAGAATAAAATATATTAGATAATTAATAGGAGTATTTACATGCATACCACTCAATTCTAATGTATTAACATATCTAATGCCTATACTTCAATTTTCACATATATGCCCTTACTTATGCATGAAAAGATGTATTTCACTTTTTACAAGATAAAATAATGATATTTTTTATGTGATATGAAATATTTAGGTGGTATAACGGTTAAAAACAAAGTTTAGATGTGGTATGTGTGTAAATTCCCCTAATTAATAAATATGAAATTTATCTATATACCGCATAGTTCTTATGTATTTGCATATCAAGCCCCTTGTTTGATATTTATATTTCTAATACTTCGCTGTTATAAACATATGCATAAAAAGTTGTACTTCGTTTTTAAAAAGCTAGTCATTGTGATTTTTTTGATGTGATAATGAAAATTTAAATACTATGCATGTAAATATAAAAAATTTAAATTAGGTCCAGAGGCGAACCCAAGAAGAGCAATTTGGTCTTTTGCCCCTCCTGAAATATCAATTTGTCGTTCGTTGCCCTAACCCCCCTCCCAAGTTGGGTCTCGGAGGGCAGTTCCCCCTGAAAAATGATGTTGGTTCCGCCCCTAAACTTAGGTGGTATGTATGTAAATGCCTATGTAGCTCGCTTAAATTCAATGAAATGATCTCATTCAATGATGAATTAATTACTTAGATGACTTGCTCTATGTTTTTATAACAATTTTTGAATATCACATACACTTATTAATTATGCAATTAGGCATACAAGTATACAATAAAAATATCAAAATAATAACTAGATGCATAGATTTACTTGTTTATTTTTCTCATCAATATTTAAATTTCAACTGATAACTTGTATAATGATAATCGAACTATGACAATTTTGATTAACGCTGTCATTGTCGGCCCAAGCCCGGATGTGAAAAGTGGAGGGTTATGTTAGGTAGTCGACAGCCGGCGTAAAACTTGTCAAAAAAAATCATGATATGATAAGGGTATATGTTTAAATCATTAGCATCAAATATATAATTATTTAGGCTTGCTATTGGCTCAAACTCAATAAAAAGAAGCTTGAACAAATTTCAAATTTCAGATCATTTTCAAGCTAATAAAAAAAATAAAAGAACAACAATTTTGACAACAACTATGAATATGCCATGCAAAAGATAGATTTGAAAGCTATTTTGAGTATTAACTTTTTGGGCCATTTACATGCACACCACACAATTCTTAAATATTTAAATATCTAAGCTTTGATATTGACATGCAAAGCACTCAAATCTTTACCAACACAAAAGAAATAACACTATTACTAGCTTTTTAAAATTGAAATACATCTTTTCATGCATAGGTTTATAAAATCAAAGTGTCATAAATGTAAACATCAAACTTTAATATTGGATATATAAATACATAAGTATTGTGGGTATGCATGTAAATTTCCCCAACATTTTTTCTCGTTTGAAAAAGTTACATCACATCAATTTTAACAGATCTGAATATAAAAAAGTTAAATCAAGACTAAAAAGTTAAAAGAGGCATTTACACACATACCACCCAATTCTTATGTATTTCTATATCTGCCATCTAAACTTTAGTTATTAAATTTATGATATCTTTCCCATTACATCAAAAATACCACAATTTTAACTTCTAAAAAGTAAGATAACGCCTTTTAATGCATATGTAAGGTGACATGCATGTAAATTTTGAAGTTAAAGTGTTATATATGTAAATACATAGTAATTGAGTGGTATTGCATGTAAATCTTCCAATTTAAAATAAACTAGACCATTGGTTGCATATCATGAGAAGGACCAGTCACATCTATTCAAAATTATCATACAAATGTTCTCACCATTTTAAAACTTGTCATAAACTAATGCATGAAATAGTGTATTTCAATTTTAAAAAGTTAGCAATCATGATATTATTGATGTAATGTTAAATATATGAGGGTCAGATATCTAAATATGAAATTTTAGATGTTAGATATTTAAATAGATGAGAATCGTGCGGTATGTATGTAAATGTCCCAAACCAAACATATAATTAAAAGGAACAAGAAAAGAATATTTGAATAAATATAAATCATAAGGTTTACCTGTATGGATTTTACAAGTTTAGGAGTGGCGTCGGAAAGCCTGTAGGTCAGCGGATGCCATCCACGCCTTTCACGGTCTTTGGAGGAGGACATATCCCATACAGTATGGGTCAAGGATCTTCTAGTAAGTTCATCCTCCAATCCATATTGCTGGAATTAGGATGCAAAACATCAATTATATACATATATATAATGTCTTTATGTATTTACATTTGTAACACCCAAAGTTTGATTTTTTACACTTATAACACCTGGTGTCATAAATCTATGAATGAAAATGTGCATTGCACTTTCAAAAGATAGTGTTTGTATCATGTTAAAGATTTGAGCGGTATGCATATAAATATGAATGTTTAGATGTTAGATGTGTAAATACATGAGACTTATGTGGTATGAATGTAAATGCACTGTCTATCTATCTATCTATCTATATATATATATATATATATATATATGTATGTATATATATATATATATTAATTTAGTAATTTTTTTTCAAGTTCTAATTTTTATTTTTTAAAAATGCTCAAAATACCTTTTAGATGGCTTGAGTGCTTTAATAAATAAGTTTGAACTTAAGGCGACGTACCAAAAATGTTCTATTCCAAATCAAAATATAAAAAATTAAAATTAAATATAAAAAAAATGATAAAAGTGATCCAAAATGGCCTCTATGTAGATAAAAACTCAAGTCTTTCACTCTCACAGACTAAAGAAGAGTAAATAAGTATAATATGTCTAGTGAAACAATATCACTGATAAAGTTATCCTTTTGTTTCTAATCATGTTCATTTTTCCAGCTCTTATTAGTGTTGAAAATGGGAAAGAATGCACCTATAATATATATAATTTTCTGAAATGAAATTTCTTCTATACTCCCAACTTTTAAGACAATTAATGGTGATGATTATAAATATATAATTATTAAAAAATCGGTTTTCTTAGAATCCATATTCATGGAGGAATTGAATAATTTGAGCACAACCTAACTGTCCACATTAATCTTCATCCAAAAAACACAACCCAAATTATTAATAACTAATCAATCATTATGAAACAAATTTCATGAAATATATAGAGCATATATAATCACTAAAAATATTTGTAAATAATGAAAAAAGTAAATCATTACAGAGTACTGATCAATTTATTAAAAAGCTCATTTCTCTTAATTAAATAAAAACATAGTTATCATAATTAAGCATAATTAGTAAGCTTAATGAATATAGTAAGAAATTAAGGCTTCGCTTTAAGTAATTTAATTCATAATGATGAAAAGATTAGGAATATGATCACTTATAATAAATAGAACAGTTCTGCATAATAAATAAATAAATAATAAACCAAAGAAATAGAAAATCAAGTCATGTAAATCTCTATTTTTTGCAATCTACATTGAAAATTATAGACAAAATATTGATATATGCCACCAAGGCATGAGTCAAAAAATAGAAAAAATTCATCAAATTAAAAAGAAGTGACGGATGAGCTGCCCGAGCATGAGTCAACAAATAAATAATATACTACAAAATCGATTCTGCCCAAAGTTCCTTGAATTAATCTAATTTGTAATTTTATTTTTTTTAAGTTATGTAGATTATATTTTATTTCATGGCTAAATAATTTTGAGATTATATAAAATTCATTATAATAATGCAGAGCTCTTTTTCAAAATAAGAAAGCTATGGGGGACTATAAATAAACAAAATTTTGAATTCATCTTGCTATCCATGCACTCTCTCTCTCTCTCTCTACCCCTTGAAACCAAACTCGGTGTGGAAATAAGGTGAGGAGATATACAACACAACCACTAGTAATTTTATAGAAGCCAGAAATTGAAAATAAAACAAACAGAAAGAAAATAACAGTGGAAAATACTAGAGAATAGGGTTTAGGTAGTGCCGGTTCGGTGGCAAGGAGGCGGCTAGCATACTAGAAACAGCAAGACAGCTGTTTCCAAGAGTCGAGACAGCAAGCAAGCAGCAGGAACAGCCGTGGGAGGGCTGTACGGGGCAGTAACAGCAAAGATGTGAACCAGAACAGCCGTGGGACTGGCTATTCGAGGTGGCGGCAACAAGGGGACAAGCAGGTACAGCTGTAGAAATGCTGTTCTAGGTGGAGGCAGCAAGGAGAAAGGGGAGGACAACAAGACAGCTGCTGCCCTAGATGGCGACAGCAGGTTGAAAGCAGAAAACAACAAGTTTCTTGTTTTCTAGGGTGGCAATAGTAGGCAGACTATGAAGGGGATGTGGGAGTGATAAGGAAAAAGGATGGGAGAAAGATATAGGAAGGATAGACATCACCTGGAGACTAAGATTAAGTCGGCGCACCACTTGGAACCGTAGGATGCAGTTCTAGAAAGGGAAAAGAGGAGTCGACGGCTTTGCAAACTCAAATCAACAAAAAAACTAAACCCTAAACAACAAAAAAACACTTAAATAGGCCTACTACTATTGGGAGGGTCCCCCAGCCCACACGTGAATTTACCGAGGTTGGCGGAGCTTCAAACTCATTTGTTGAAGCTTCTAACTCCTCATGATATTGTATCAGGTCAGCCACGTTAAAAGTGGTAGAGCTGTCGTAACCTCCAAGAATTAGAGGGCCTTCGACTACACCTCTAGAAGCACATGAATTCAATTTCGGATGCACTGTGTTTCAAAACACCCGAGAAGTTTTCTCGAATTGTGAGTAACCATCTCATTGTTGAACTAAACAAGTACTTTGTGTCAAGCGAACTCTGCAAATCCTCCAAAATTAGCTCAATGTAAGCTCATTCCTCTTTGACGTGAAGACAAACTGAATCTCCCCTAATAGTGGCAGCCTTGATGGGTAGGCAATCAGTCAGAATATTTTGAAACTCTCTCCATAGTGGTTGCCATGTGTCTGACATTGGTTCCTCTATCTCAACACATTTAACATCACCAAAACTAATCTCACTGACGTCTCATAGCAAGAGCGCCTATAACCTCGGACTCCAAAGAAGGTAGGGGAACTATGTGTTTTTCATTCTTTGACGAATGACCAAGTGTTGTTGAACCCATCATGCAGAGTCTTATAAAATAGGGTTGTTGATTTTGAAAATCAGAAAAGGAGGAATTAGAGTTAGGTCAAGATTTGGCTATGTTTTTGTGAGTTTAGGTCACCCTTAGAGGAACTAAGGCCAAATGATACCAGAATCAGTGTGAAGAATCAGTGTGAAAATAAGGTGAGGAGAAACAAATCACAACAACTAGTAATTTTATAGAAGCCAAAATTTGAAAATACAACAAACTAAAAGAAAATAACAATGAGAACTATTAGGGAATAAGGTGGCAAGTAAGCGGCAAGCAAGCTGGAAACATCAAGATAACATTTTCCAAGAATTCGGACAACAACCAAGCAGAAAAAACGGCTGCGACAGGGCTGTCAGGGGCAACAACAGCAAGGATGTGGTCCCAAATAGCCTTGGGGCTGACTATTTAGGGTGGTGGCAACAGGGGGGGAGCAGGTACTGTCATAGGAAGGTTGTTCTAGGTGGTGGCAACAAGGAGGAATGGGAGGACAATAAGACAGTTGTTGTCCTTGGGCGGCGGCAGCGGGTTGGACACAGACAAGAAGTTTATTGTTCTGGGCGGCGGCAACAGACAGACAGACATGCAGGCAGACAAACAATGAATGAGATGTGGGAAGTATGGGGGAAATGTATAGAAAGGATAAACACCACCAAAAGACCAAGATACAACCAAAACACCATTTAAAACCTTAAGATACAACCCTAGAAAGGGAAAAAAGGAGTAAGCTATTCTACAAACTCAAATCAATCAAAAAATAAACTCTAAACATCAAAGACACTTAAATAGACCTACTACAATGAGGAGTGGGGCCCACTCCAAATGGAGAGAGGGCCGACAAGCCAACTCGCACAAATCGATCTGGGGTCCCCCCAGTCACCGCATTACCCCCTTTCTCCTATTCAGTTTTCCCTTCTCTTTAGTTTTTGGCCCCGTTTGGGGCAGCATATAAGTGCAGGCGGCGTTTTGAAATCGCCGCCATCTTGTTTGTTTCCAGCGTTCGAAGTGCGTTCAGAAAATGTCGTTTCGGTTTTATATATTATACCCGACCGCGGGATCAACCCCACGGCCAGGCATTCGATCTGCGTTTCGGCTAATTTTTCCTTTCGTGCCCTCAGCTCGCCTCTCTCCCTCGCCGCGTCTTCACAGACCTCCGCAACTCCCATCTCCGCTCCGCTGCGTCTTCACATTCTCAACTCCAAACTTTCCCTCCTTCCCTCCCCTCCTCTCCTACCGAGAAGCACCACATCTCTCCCTCGCTCGACCTACAGACCTCCGCAACTCCCATCTTTCTCTTGCTCCGCTCCGCCGCATCTTCTACAATCCTCCACAACTCCAATCTTTCCCTCCTTCCCTCCCCTCTGCTCCTACCGAGAAGCACCGAGAAAGATAAGGCATCGAGGAAGGTAACTCCATATTTCTCCTCCTCTGCTCCCCTCCGTCACTCCTTGTATTTCCTCCTCTACCTCTGGAAAAAATTTTCAGTGTGCCTTGATAGGCATTCTCTTGTCTCATAAATTTAATTATAAATCATGTTTATTTATTTATAAAGCATGTTTATTTATTCATGTTTATTTATTTATAAATCATGTTTATTTATTCATGTTCATTAATTTATAAAGCAGCTTATCTCACAAATCATATTTATTTATTTATTTATGTTTTGAAAAGATTAATGGTCCATGGAAGACTTCACAGGCTGGTGCAATGTGGAAACCAGAAACATAAAAGCTGTAAAATATTTATAGTCTGTTTTATTATTAGTTTTCAAAAGTTTGTTGTGGATAATGAACTATGGGTAGGTTCGTGATATGTAGCAGATATGGAATGAAATTTTAGCAAGACAAACCTCAATGTTCACACTATTCAAGCATCTGTGCATCAACATGATGATAAAGCTCAATGAAATTGACTCATTTATTTTTTTTCTTATTTTTTTTACTCTGCTCTGACATGGGAATTTGGCAAAGTGTCGTTGTTGATTAAATGTTGCTATTACTTGCATGACTAATGAATGAACTGGCGAAGTAATGATTAATTGAGGACATCATCTTATTACCTATCTACGTTTTTTCTCTTGAATAGTAATTCCATGCTTATTCAGAACGGGACAGAATGTTCATTTAACTAAAAAAAATTGTAAATAAGCTATTTACAAAACGTATAAACCAAACAACTAAACAACTTATTCAGAACGGGACAAAATGATCATTTATCCAGAATCAGCTATTTTCCAAACGCACAAACCAAACAACCAGTCAGCTTACCTGGATCAGCTGCTCATCAGCAGATTATCAGGATAAGCTGCTTATCAGCATAAGCTGGATAAGCTGCAGCTGCCCCCAAACAGACCCTTTATCTCCCCCATAATTTATCTCTTCTCCTTCACCTCTATCAATTTTGGCATTAGCACATCCGATATAATGAAGAGCTAACTTAAGCGAGAAGATAAGAACCGCAATGGCTTGAAATTTTGGTGAACTATTGCCCTACTCGTACTAATTCAACTTGAGGTTCAACATAATCTATGCTTTCTTAAGCTAAGTTTTTCCGGAGATTATTCATGCTTTATGAAAAAATCTTATGCTTATTGCCATCATTACCCCTAAAAAACCCTAATTTACATGTGCACAAATCTTAAAAGCCACAGAATTATTATATTATAAATTTTTGTTGGAAGAGGAATACTTGTGATTTTATAAATTTACGCCCACATAAGCTCACCATTAGTGTCTGCAAATTCTCACAAATATTTTCCAAATTCTTCAACGGTACAAATTTGACAGTGAAGAGAATATAAATAGAATGTAGAAATTGAGGGGTGTTCATTGAAGATAACTCTTTTGGATTCACCTTCTTGAATATTCAGCAAACTTTTGATTTGTACAAAATGATGCAAACAGGATACTGTAAATAGTCGTTGATGAAGATTCTGAACATTTGGGAACGATAACATGACCCAATGAGAGAGAGTGGGGTGGAAGAAGAACATGTACAAAACTTTAAGTGAGAGGGAGAAATGGAAGCACATCCCAAAAGGAGGAAAAGGAGAGAAATCTTTAAGCCAATGTTCTTCATTCAAGGATCTTCAATTGCTCCATAAAGTCCCTTTTGTAAAGGAGATACCTCAATACTTGTACTAAAAAAGGCTCAAAATAATAAGTTAAGATATCCTTATTATATAATAAAAATATGAAACCCAATGAAAAATAAGTTTAAAAACCAAATGGACACATGATGTGTTTGCATGAATCCCACTCCCTCCCCCTCCCCATCCAAGTATGCGTTCACGTTTATGAAACTCTCCACTCTGCCTCATCCTAACACTCTTTTGGCCAAATTATTATATTTGTAAGATCTCAAGTAATTCTATTGCCGTGAGATAATGAGCCAAAACAAGTTCCAACAATAATAAATTATTACTGGTACCCTAAACACTAATTTCAGTTTGAATGATTTGAATTAATCTAATTAAGAAAATATGGATTTCAACCCAAGCCATTCAAAATAAAATTAAGAAGTTTTACATAGATACCACTCAATTCCTATGTATTACATATGTAACACCTAAACTTCAATTTTTCACATATAGGCCATCTTAACTATATATGAAAAGGTGTATTTGACTTTTAAAAAATTAAAAAAGTGGTACTTTTTATGTGATGTGAATGATTTTGGTGGCATACATGCAAAAAATAAAGTTTAGATGCTGGATGTGTAAATGCATAGGAATTGTGTAGTATGTATGTAAATACAATTAATAGTGCAATGGTGGCACTTGCACCATGCAATGATCACCTTAATTACAATATCCAAATTTTATCCAAATATTATGCAATTAATAGTGCAATGGTTGCACTTGCACTATGCAATGATCATCTTAATTACAATATCAAAATTTTATCCACATATCATGACATTGTACATAGCAAACATCTTATAAACTGTAAATATTGTCGCATTAAATAAGTTGAATTGCGTACGAACAAAACTTACTGCTAGCAAAGTTTGAACATAGTGCTCATCTGGTATACAGTTATGCTCTTTGGATACATCAACAGACTGCACTAAGAAGATAATTTCAGAAAAAAATAATGTCATCATTTACATCTTGTAAAATTTTTTTTATACATCTCAAGCAGAATAATTTAAAACTGTTATGGAGTATCGAAGTAATAGAGATGAGTCCCAATTGAACATAACCACAAAGCAAAAGCAATTAAGAGAATAAACCCCAAGAGGAGTAACAGAAAATTTAGTAATTCAGCAGACTAAAACAAGCAAAAATTATATAATTGAACTCTGGCACACAAACCATATGCAATGTGACAATATCATGCGTTGACATGGGATTGGAATGGTTCGACATTCGGCCTCTACATTAGGTGAGGAGATTTATTATTTATTTCTTCCAAACAGGAATCTTCAATACAATAAGTATAAGCAATTTATAAAACAATGATCGGGCAGTATCACTCACAAAAGAGAACCGATTCTTCGAATCCTATCCTGAAATTAAAACTCTTAGTTCAGTTCTGAATACACGCAACTAAAAATCCCATTAGTTTATGGTAATAAAATATGCAACGAAGGTGACTACTAACTAATTTTGAATTCCTCCTACTTTATGATATTTGTGGCTAAAACTTTCTCAAAATCATGTGTAAAATTCTTATTACATAGCAAAGGTTTCTGATATTAAATGCGTAAAAAATAATTAGCCATTCTAAACATGAATCATATGTGCATATTTTATTGTCAGCCTTATTTAGCATGTGATCAGCTCAATCCTATCACTAGAGCCAGAACAAGCTTTAGTCAAGTCAAACGTGGAGGTCTTTGGTTATGAAATCAACCCAGTTGCAATCATTTGGTGCTCCCAAAGTATCAAGTTGGTGTGTAAGAATGTTAAGCAGTAGTGTGATCAAGTCACTTTTAAATACTCCCATCCGAGCTTAACCAAATCAGTCACTGTTGACCTCAATTTTCGTGAGGTCTAGTATTCCTCGTAGGAGTTAGGATCTAGCCTTAGGGGTCTTCCTGCGACTATCTTAGAACCTTAGAAGTGGTGTCCGCCTCGTTTTAGTTCAACCTATTTCCGTCCTCTTTTGGAGTTTCGCGTGCGCGGTATCGACTTCTAACACTTAGAAGGATGAAACCGACATGAGGAAACCCAAAATGGATTCCTATAGGACCTTCCCGAGCCTTAGGGTGGCCTTCTGCACAATTCGCACTCCTGCGCGCACCAGCTTCGCAATTCGGAGAGTCGACGTGTCCGATCGCCGTAATTTACATTGCCTGCACCGTTATTTGCCGAGGGCTTGAGTTAACCACTTGTGACGATCGATCGCGGGTCGAAATTTTGTGAAATTTGAATTTTGACGCGTTTTGACCCGATTGTCGACGACGTCGTCCGAGCGACCCCGGCGTACGAAACGGACTGCGCCAACGCGTCCGGAACGTCGATTTTGCCCGAAGAGGACACTCATTTTGTCGCGTGGCCGCGCGCGAGTATATTGTGTTTTAATTAATTAATATATATATATATATATACATATATATATATACATATATATA